GTGCTCAGAAGGACTCCTTCGAATCTGGCATTCATGGCAGGTGCGAACATGATGCTTGACATTTTGTAACATATGGGGCCAGTAAAAGCGCTCTCTGACTGTAGAGAATACACCATTGACTCCTCTGTGACCAAGCCTTTCGTGTGCTTCAGTAAGGATGTGAAGTCGAAGGTCAGGATTGAAGATAACTTTGAGAGGAGGAGCAGAGTGACGACACTTGAACATGCTATCTCCTTTCAAGAAAAATTGAAGTGATTGCTTGACAAAACACTTTTGAGCTTGAAGAGAGGAAAATATAGGCAGCTCCATAGTTTGAAGAAAGTGGAAGATTCGACGAAGAGTATCGTACTGAGAAGAATCATTGGTAAGGAACAAAGGGAGTGACATAGGCTGATATGGGAGAGGTCTGGCAAGATCAACAAAAAGAGCGATATCATCAAGCCAATCATCTGATTCTTGAGCATCTTCAAAGTCTTCCTCTGTTGGTTGACGACGAGATAATGCATCAGGACCACGATGACGATCAGCAGGTATGTGAATGAGCTTGAAATCAAAAAGAAGGATGCCCTGAATCCAACAATTGATAGTGGCATTAGGCTGAAGATCTGGATTGTTGAGCATGCCTTTGATATACTTGGCATCCACCTCCACATGCAAGTGTTTTACTCCTGCAATGTAAAGGCGAAAATGACGAAGTGCTCTGAACAAACCATATAATTCTAGCTTGGGTTGACTGTAATTTGCCTCTCTATCATTCATGGGAATAGAGCCATAGCGAGCTGGACGCTTCCTTCCATTTTCATCAAGCTGGGAGAGGATAAAACCAACAGCAATCTTGCTGGTATCAACTGAAAGAACAACTGGGTTGTGTGATGAATAATTTATAGGGTGAAGTGCTGGTGCAGAAGATACTGCATGCTTCAGAGCATCAAATGCTTCTTGTCTGCGTTCATCCCATTGAAATTCAGCTCCTTTGCGATACAATTCTGTCAAGGGGCGTGCAAGAGCAGAGTAATTGCAGATCCAAATGCGAACTGTGCCACATAGACCAAGAAAACTGCGAACGTCTTTGGGAGTCTGGAGAATTGGCCATTTCAGAATCTTGTCCACCTTGGTACTGTCAGGGAGACGACCTTTTGAGCAGCACACTTGTCCAACAATCACAACTTGGGGATGACATAACTGAGTCTTCTTTCCAGAGAAAGTTCCGCCAGCATGACCAACTCTATGCATAATGCGATGAACGTCAATGGCATGTTCCCATATAAATCTACGAATGCCAGGGTTGCCAGGAATGGTCTCTGGGTTACCATCTGCATCTTCATAACGAGAAGTAGGTCCTTTGATTGGGAGGTCATCAACAAAGATATTGGCAATATGCGGAATTTCGTCTTGCAGGATGAAAGTCATGCAATTCTGGAATTCTGGAACGGAGTTGGTGAATCCCATAGGCATAGAAGTAATCCTCAGAAGTCCTAGTGGTGATAGAAAAGAGGTAAGGTCACGACTGTCAGGGTGCACTTTTCGAGCATCAAATCCCCAAAAGAGATCAAACACAGTATAGCATTGAGAACCAGCAAATGGCTCCACAAAGTCGTCAAGGATAGGTGGTACTCCTGAGTTTTTGATAGTGACTGCATTAAGTGGCTGAAGATCATGGATGATGCAAATCTTGCCATTCTTCTTCTGAACGCAAAACCACTTAGAGCGATAAGACGACTGGCTAGGCTCATAGACTCCAGCTTTGATTTTGTCTCTGAGCAATTCTATGACTTCATTCTTGATTCCAGGAGGAATAGGAATGTTCTTGTATTCCCAAGGGACATGTGGGAGAACAGGTATGATGTAGGGAGAGAAGTAGTCTTCTCTGAATGTTCCTCTGTCAGTTTCCTCGAAGGCAAGACTGCGCTGATTGAGTATCATGATGTGAGCAAAAAGCTTTTCCTCTTCTGGCCATAAGAATCCATCAGAGTTTAGCTTCATTTCGTCATAAAGGCGCTCCTTGGTGAGCTTCGGCGTGGGAATGAATTCTGGGGGAAGGACAGGAAGGGGTGGGAGCGAAAGGAGTGGGTCTTCTGGAAATGACTGAGTGACACGTGCGTCTTCTGGGAATACTCCAGGAACAGGTTTGACTCTGCGATCAACATATTTGTAGGCTCCAAAACTCGACCAATCAGGTGCTGGTACAGGTATAGGGTCCACAATATCTATCATATAACTAGGGTCAAAACAAAAAGCATTCAAAGAAGGAAAGTGCCGTGGTAGTTTTGCGTCATCTCGGACAGAATAGGATAGGGATGAGGTTGGATGTTTTACAAGGGGGGAATGAAAAAGATCAGATAAGAACAAAAGGGGAACATAGACAATAGAAAAAGAAGTTGTTACAAGAGTAAAGGAAGGAAAAACCGGATAACATAGAAATCTAAGAGGCCATTTTGTACAAGTAATAGATATGTAACAAGAAAGAAGAAAAAGGGAAAAGGTGGCATATGGTCCAAAAGCGCTGAATGGAGTGTTAAGTAAGAAAGGAATATAGAAATGTATCACCAGCATCTACCTCAAACTTCAACTGTGGCACTAGCAAGCACCTCAGTGCTGGTGGTAAATGTTGATGCACTGGATGGATGAATTGTCCTGTTGTGGAGGTGAATAACCTCAACACGTTCTCGTCGACAATAAGTGCGAATATGAGGGAAGACAAAACCGTAGAAGAGGGTGAGGACAAGTAACACTCCCACCACAATCTCGATGATGAGAGCTTCTTTAGTAATATGAAACCCTTTGAGTCAGGACATGTTAGGTGCTTGTAATGCTCGATGTAAGCGTTTAGGATGGAGTGAAGATGTGTTAGAATTGGGGTAGAATTTCTGGCACTGGTGGGAATAATTGATAATGGCTGAGCTGATGGTGACGTGGGAAAATGATGATAGTGATGCATGGAAGTTCGAAGATATGTAGTAATATTGGATGATATATTGATGGAAGGTTGATGCTCCACTCCTATTGTTGTGGAGAGGGATAGCTGAAGGGGCGGTAAGGATTCAATCTCCCTTTCATCCTCTTGACTATCATTGCAAATAGTATGCATGAGTGTGCGATTATGGTGCATGGGTGTGCAATTATCAGAAGAAATTGACGAAGCAATAGTAGCATTGGTAGAGGAAGGTGATGGGGGTGAGTCACTGATATTTGATGGTAACTGTTGACATGAATATGGGGGTGGTGATTCAGAATCAGTGGATGAGTCATCATTAATTAATCCATTTATATGATTGTGTATCGGCTCTGAATCGGATTCTTGTATTACTTCCACCGTCACATTGACTTGACCATTCATATCACGTGATGGAGGTCTATTTATATCTTCATCAGTGGGAATTGGAAATGATTCTGTTTGAGGAAAGAAGGGGATATGTGCAGTTCCTGAGCGACTGATAATGGATCGTGCTCTTCCAGGTCCATGATTCTGGTCAAATCGCAAATGAGCATGGAGCAGGACATAATCAGCATAAAGGTTGTGGTTTTCATCGAAGCCATGGTGTCCTCTCATGACATAGTCTGAAGTCAGTGAGAGTGAACTCATGTTGTGACTATATCGAAGGTTGTTCAGTAGACCAAAAATAGCAGACCTTTCATCTTCCCTGATTGAGCGAATAAAGTCAAAGAATGTTTCAAAGGTGCTGGCATTGGGGATAGGGATAGGGACTTCAATAGTTTCTTCTAGACGAGTTTCCATGTCTTCCAGTGCTCTGAGAGTGCTAGAATTTTCGATTGAACCAATCGGGGAATTATCTGGAACAGGCACAGTTTCTTCTTCTGGGGTGACACTTTCAGCAGCAGTTTCCGATTCATCGGTATTTCCATCTAGATCTTCTCCATTGAAGTCATAGTCCGTGACTAAGAAGCTGGATACTGTATTGGATACTCCAGATACTGGTTTGACATAGTGAATAGGACGATGATCTGATGATACCTTGACTTCAAGGGCTGGGTTTTTGATTTTGCCATCCTTTCTGAAGACGAGATAAGTGCCATTAAGTCTTTCTTCAATGCCGACATAGTTCCCATGTGTCCATGGTCGTCCAAGAAGTAGATCGTATCCAGTGTCTTTCCCAACAAGGATATTGGCATAAGTTTTGACTTCTCCGCAGTATAAAGCCACATTGTTGACTAGACCATCAAGTCTACCAAATCCTCCATTGGCATCTTTGACTACAGGTCAAATACTAGTATCCATGGGAAGGCGAATGAGATTTTCCCAAATAGTGCGGCTGACTATATTGAGAGCAGACCCTGAATCAACAATAGCTGTAATAGTTTCGCCATTAGAGGTAACAGGAACACGAATAAGGTCGGCATAAGTGATGGCAAAAAGTGATTCAGCTGTCAAGCTTTGGGGTTTGTTGTCTAGTCCAAAATTAACGCGCTTGGGTTTCATCATTTCTTGGAGATTCTGGGAAACTTCTTTTGATAGACCAATGACATTACCAATAGATAGGGGGATAGGGGTGCTGAGAATTTGATCAATGATGGCTTTGGAGTCAAGATTCTGCGAAAGTGTAGATGAAGTCTTGAGTGGTTTCTTCTGTTTATTGGCAGGGGGATTCTTCTTGGTGGTCTGGGAAGCGTCTTCCATGATTACATCATCATTAGTGGGATCAAAGATAGGCTGTGCAATATCAAAGATGTGTGGTTTTGATGGAACAGGGGCTATGGTTGGAGCGGCAGGCTTCTCTTCTTCTTTCTTTCCTTTTACAGCTTTGGCCCAATCTGGTTTAGGAGGAATGTAGACACCATCAAAGACTTGCTTGCGCTTCTCCTTAGACACTCTGTCTAGACAATCCACTGCATAGACAGGCTCTTCATCTGAATCAGAATCAGAGTCAGCTACTTCAGCAATGGACATGAAAGAAATCGTAGTGAGTAGGTTAGACTTGGGGATAGTGCGATGTACAGCAGTTGCTATGGGTTCCTCTCTTGATCGCATGATTCTAGACCCATCAGACAAAGCGACCAGTGTCATCCTTCTTGACGATTCCCTTTGACAGTAAGTCAAGCATATCTGCGCATTCATTAACTCCATGACCAGTTTTTCCGCATCTATAGCAAAGGAAGGGAACACAAGGTGCTGTAGGCAGAGTGGCAGTGGATGGAGCAATAGGCTGAGTGGGTAAGTTGCTGCTTCCTTGAGAGGATCGAGACGGTTTGGCTGACTGGTTCATGAAAGTGGGAGGGCGAAGTATAAGTCTAGCATCAGTGTCAAGCTTGATAGCACGATAGTAGAGCAGAGGATAGTTAGGATCTTCGATTGTCATAGAACCCAACTTCTTGATAAGTGTTTCTACTTCATCTTGCTTGACAGCAGTGTGCTCTTCTTTGTCTAAGGAATGAAGGGTTTTCTTCGACTTGGAAGGACTCAACAGCTTTCTCTCTTTCTCTGTCTCAGAGGTGCGCTTTTTCTCTTTCTTCTGCTTGGTGGTTTTCCTGATATAACGAGGTGGTTCTGCCTCTTTGTCAGAGTCAGAAGAATCGTCCAAAGAACTGGAAGAGTTCTCTGAATCTGAGTCTGAATCCGAATCATCAGAGTCAAAATCTTCATCATCAAAGTGATCTCTGCAAAGGACATGCTCTACAGCCTTGACAACATCATCAAAGACAAAAGGCTGGGAGAGATCAAGGGTAGGATCCCTCTGAAGGAGTCTGTTTTCAACGCGATAACAAAGGGTTTTGGATAGTCCTTTCCAGAAAAAGCGATTGAATACGTCCTGGGTGATCTTGGATTTGGCAAGAAGCCATCCTCCAACACGAACATACTTCCTCATGTAGCTCTTGAAATCGTCCAGAGAGCCCATTTTCTTCTTGTGCGAAGCATCGACCAGCTGTTTAAGATGATGCTCTTTAAATTTGGCCTCTGCTTTTGCAGCATCAAAGTACTGGAGAATTTTGTCTTTGAGACTGTTCCATGAGGGCATAATGAAGTGCTTCATTCCTTCAATGATTTCGCGAACATATGTGGAGCAGTATTGGAGAATGCTTGAGCATTTTTCATCGTCAGCAGTAACATTGTTTGCATGACAGATGCGTTCATAGTGGAGAACAAAATCCCTGACACGAGTATAGTCTCCCTTGAACTTCTTAGGAGCATAACGAGTGCCAGGAATTGGCATAGTGATGACTGAGAGAGTAGTAGGTTGATTCATAGTGGAAAATATAGGGGGTAAACGCGAAGCTTGCTGAGTAGAAGCTGGTACCGAAATTGAGTTACTGGAAGAGAGGGATGGGACAGATAAAGCGGTAGGTGAGATAGAAGGTGTAGATGATAAATTAGACAGTGATGGCAATGAAATGGTTGGTATTTAGCTTGAAGGAAACCACCCCTCGCGGTGGGCTCCAATTGTCGATGATGAGAACTGTTGTTAGAAAACCACACACAAAAACAAACTAACAAACAATCCTCCCAGATTCCACGGAACTTGTTTATGGGCTTTGCCTCCTAGAACAGTGGGTGCTCTGGTTATTCGTGGGGTGGTATGTATGAAGGTCCTTCAAAGTAAAACCCAGAGAGGTATGGGTGTGGGTTTTGAGGAGGAGGGATAGTTGAATTTATAGAAGATGGGGGCTTAGTGACGAGTATAGATGAGCACTACCTTGCTAATTGTAGCACAAAGTAGGTTTGAGAATGATAAAGATGACGAGGTGACGAGGTTCCCAGTGATATCAGGCTCCTGACGCACAAACTGTAGTGCTCAGAAGGACTCTAATCAAAAGGGATGACAGTGACTTTCAAAAATGACAAGTGACGATGACAGCAGATAGCAGTGGTAGCAGTGGGAAGTATTGTGACCACACTGGATCACAAGTAGCAGAGTAGTGAACTTGAGATTTAGAGAAGAAGTCTGGAATCGAGTACTTTGTTGTTTTTACAAGGTAAAATACAGGGGTTTATATAGTGAAAAGAAAGGCAGGCTATGCACAGTATAGCTGCGCAAAAAGAATGAGAAAGAACATGAAGGAAGGAATGTACGCTGACGAATCCTGCGTAGTTGCTACAGGATAAGATCATCAAAATAAGGGAAAGAAAGGGATAGAACAATGAATGCTGTGAGTAATGTCACAGGTTTGTACAGCCATAAAGTAAAGTCCAATAGCAAAAAGAGAGCAAGAAAATCATGATGTCATGGGAAGATGCAGTAAAAAAAAGGGCAAGGAAAAACACTATCAGTATCAACACAGTTTCTTTATTGTCAGTCAGGCATTCTAAAAAAATATGTGTCCATAAAAATGATTCAAAAATCAAAAATAATCGCACTGTAAATGAATGTTCTGCTGAAAAAAAGAAACTGGAGCCACCGGTCCACCACCTAGTCCAAATCCAACAGTTCCATCGCTTTACCAATGGACTGGTTGTGTTGGACCACCTGATCAAACGAGGGAGGGAGAGGAGTAGTTCCAATTTGGAACAAGTGAGTCCCAGGCAGCGTGTGGTAGGTGTAGCTGTAGCGAAGACGATGGACAAAAGATAAGTGTACCCAAGTGAATGGGACAGCAATGAACATGGGCGACGCAAGGGGATGAACCTTCTCCAGCTCAAAAACTACCCACCCACGCTCCAACCAGGCAAGATGAGTGACCGATGTTTTGATGGCAGATCGACGTCATGAAGATGGACCTGTTGCCCTATTTGGACCGGCCGCCGGGGCTTTGCTGATATTAGCAGTGGCACGTGGTAGTCAACGGATCGGTGACGGAAGCGGATAGGAAGTGGTGACATCAGAAATGGTGGGGGTGCAAATAATATGAGGAGGAGGAGGGTGGAGGTGACAAACAAGTGGATTAGAATGGGGATCCAGAAACGACCATCGGGTGAGAATAAAAAGGAGAGGAAGGGGCCCATGGTGGGGCTAGGCAAAGGAAGGGGAGTAAGGGAAACGACAAAAGCGAGGGCGCAATGCAATGTGTAGCCAGTGGCGACGCGAAAATTTGCCGAAATGCCAAAACACGGAAAGTACCGCATGGAAAAGCAAAGGTGAGCGTGACTGGATTGCCTAATAGAGGTGGTGCTGATCAGCCACAAGTTCGAAACAGGCAATATTAATTACTATTCCACGTGGCACTGTGCCTGTGTGGCGCAAAGGCGAGTCTTTTCGAATATTTGCTTCGTTATTGACACCTGTCCATGCTACCAATCAATTTTGGTGCATGACATCGGGTAAGTCTGTAATGAAATCTACCGAGAGATACTTCATCGGTTCAGTGGTCTTTGGTGTTTGATTCGGGATCAACGGTACCATGGTCGGATGTGTGTTTACTTTGGCTTGCTGGCAAGTTGCGCATCCTTTCACGTATTCCTCTACCTGTTTCATCATTCCTGACCACCAATAGGACTTTTTTACCAGTTGATAGGTTTTTAGTCTTCCTGGGTGTCCTGCGGTTAGCGAGTCGTGGTGATTTTTGATGATCGTCCTCTGTTCTTCTGCAGTGTCAATCAGTAGTTTGTTCTGATAGAAGAACTGTCCTTCTGTTTTGTGCCAATCTTCCTTTTTCGTTCTTCCAGGGTAGTTGTCGTTGGTGAGTATTGCTTGCTCTATTGTGTCTTTTATTGTTCGCGTGGCATACAGAAACGCCGACGCTGGTATCATTGGGGTGTCGTTGTCGTCGTCCGTGTTATCGATGTACAAGTCGGGTCATCTCGAGAGTGCGTCAGGTACCACCATGTGGGTTCCAGGTACGTGCTCTAATGTGTAATTGTATTGTGACAGTTCCAGCTGCCACCTTCGTTGTCGTGGTGTGAGATTCCTGGCCTCCTGCCAGTACGTCAGGTTCTTGTGATCCGTTAGAATTTGGATCATGTGTGGGCTTCCTAAAAGCAGGTGTTTCCACTCCTTCAGAGCTCTCATTACCGCTAAAAGTTCCTTGTCGTAGATCTGGTAGTTTTTCTCTGCGGGGGATAGGGTTTTCGAGAAAAATGCGCACGGGTGCCATTGTCCTTGATCGTCTGGTTGCATTAATACAGCTCCAGTGGCGTGTTTGCTCGCGTCAGCTGCTATCTTTGACGGTTTCGAGGAATTGGGGATTCGGGTTACAGGGGATTCGAGGAATTTTTGTTTCAATAGTTTGAAAGTGTCGTCTTCGATTTTCGTCCAGTTCCACTTTTTGTCTTTTTCTAGCAAGGCGTTTAGGGGTCTGGCTAGGTCGGAGTAATGGCCGATAAACTTCCTGTAGAAGTTTCCGTAACCCAAGAACTTCTGTACGCCTTTGGTGTCTTTCGGGGTTGGCCAATCGCATATTCCTGCGAGTTTGGCTGGGTCCATGGATACCTGGTTGTGGGAAACAATCATTCCCAAGTACTCAATGGTTTCCGCTTCAAAGGTGCATTTTTCGAGTTTCAGGAATAAGTCGTTTTCTCGTAGCCTTTGTAGAACCTGTTTTGTCCTGATGCGGAGTCTTTCGACATTGGTGTCAAAGATGAGGATGTCGTCCATGTATATGATCATCCAGCCTTCATCAACATAGTCTTTGAATTTGTCGTTCATCAGCCTTTGGAATGTCGCTGGGGAATTGCACATGCCGAAAAACATGACCGTTGGTTCGAATACTCCCTTGCTGGTTTTGAAGGCAGCTTTCCATTTGTCTCCTTCTTTTATCCTTACGTTGTTGTATCCCCAACGTAGATCCAGTTTCGTAAAGACGGTGGCTCTTTTCAATTTTTCGATGAGGTCGGGTATCAGGGGTAGTGGATATGGGTCTTTTACGGTATATGCGTTTAGTTTTCTGTAATCTTGGCATGGTCGGAGTGATCCATCCTTTTTGCCAATGAAGAAGAAGGGGGACACCTGTGGCGACTTGCTTGGCCTGATGTATCCCTTTCTGTAGTTGTCCGTCAAGAATTCCGTTAACGCTTCATCTTCCTTTGGCGCCAGTGGGTACAGTTTGCAATCTGTTGGTACAAATTCCGGTTTCATGTTGATTACATGATCATATTCCCGTTGCTTGGGGAGTCTTTCCGATTTCTTCTTGTCAAAGACGTCTGAATAGCCCTTATATTCATCTGGGAGGATATATTCTTTTTTTCTTTCTCCGTGTATTTGTGTGTGTTCCATCGCCGAGTTGACTTTTAACCGAATTGTGGTTCGAGGATAGGGTGTGTGGTCGGATATGTATCTGTGAATGGTTTCGTATTCGTCTTCGTCTACTGTGGTTGTCCTGATTTTTGTTTCCGTGGTAGTCTGGTTTGTCCTGAGTGAGCGTTTATCCGAGTACGGTAATTCTTTGTCTTTCCAGTTAATGACCGGGTTGACTTTTCGTAACCAGGGGAAGCCTAGCAATACGTCTTCTCCGTCTAGTCCGGTCAATAGGAACTTCGTAAACCTGTTTTGTCCTCCTGCGTCTATTCTTTGATAGGTGCAATGCGTAATTTTTCCGTTTTTGTTTGTGGTTCCGTCAACGTTTTTACACATTATAGGGGTTGGGAGTTTTTGGAGGGGGAGTCGGTGTTTAATGGCGAATTTTGTGTCTATGAAGTCGTCTGTAGCTCCTGAATCTATCAGGGCTTTGGTTCCGATGGTTTTCTGTTTTAACAAGTAATGAATTTGTAAAAAGTTGGCATTAATTGTTGCTATTGTTACAGTTGCCATTTTCGACGGTACTAACATCGGGGTAGTCCGTCGTTTCAAAAACCCTCGTCTTCTAATTCTTTCATCGCCTCAGCTCTTTGATCTTCTCCCAACTCCCTCCACATCCTCATGATGTTTTGGACCCTGTCTTCTTCTACCACTGTCTTGGTGTCATCTTCAGTTTTGGTTTGACGTACTTTTCTTTCGGGAGTTTTTCCTTTGTTCCTACAATTCCTCCCAATGTGTCCTTTTTCGTTGCATATGAAGCACCTTCCTTCCTTCCTCCTGGTTTTTTCTTCGTCTTTGGTCAGCCTCTTCACACTGGTGGATGGTCCACCTTTGCAATTTTTGTTGTACTGTCTTTCTTTGTTTCTGGCCCCCCATGTCCCTTCCGAGATGGCGTTGGCACTGGTCCAGTTGGCATCTAGGTTGGCCACCGTGTTCATCCAGTCTTCAATGGTGACCAGTTTCTTTCCGGTGAGTGTTCCGCGGAGGAGGGGGGGTCGGATTGCCTTTTGATAAACCATGATCATGGCTTCGTTGTTGATGCCGCTTTTCCCAGCATCTAGCATAAACCTCGAGTTGAATGCCACTGCATTTTCTCCTTGTTCCATTCTCATTTTCATCAAGGCGGCCGAGGCCGTTCCTTTGACATTTGCTGTCCTGAAACTGGCTGTGAACGTTTTCATAAAATCTGCCCATGTGGGGTAGGCGTTCTTGTCTTTGTATTTGGTCATCTTGGCTTTGCTCCATGAGGCGGCGGTTCCGTCCTTCATGTAGCTGAGAGCCACGTGCACCTTTTTCTTGTCAGAGGTATAAATGGTGTCATTGATGTCAAAGTGTAAGTCAGTGGAAGATATCCATCTTTGGGCCTTGTCTGGGGTCCCGTCAAAGTCGTCAATTTTCCCAATCATAGTGGGTTTGGGTGCTGTAGCGTTTGACATGGTGTAGGTAGGTGGGGTAGGAGATGGGTTGGGTGCAGTAGGGAGTATCTGTGGTGTGGGAAGGGGTGTTGGTTCACCTTCCGCTGCGTATTTTTCGAAGTCGTAGATGTTTTCTGTGGTCACTGGAGGATTGTGCTGTGTTCTGGGGATTAGTTGTGGGTGACTTTTCGCGTAGAACTGTAGCCAACGTGTTCTGGCTTCGTAGAATGTGTCTGCCTGTTCTCTGGTGTGGAGTCGGGTGACGTCTGGTTGAGGGAAGGGGGGTGGTGCTGTTATCCTTCCTTGTCTGGACGATGTCGGGGGTGTTGCTGTCTGTGTCTGTAAATTGTCTGAGCTTCTCCCTGCCCTCTGAGATCTGGTTCTCGGTTGTTGCGACATATTGTTGGCTTTTTCTTCCCAAACCTAAATAGGTGGGACTTCTGGTAGGAATACGATTCTTTTGTTACGCACAAAGTGCTTAACAAAGTCTGAGGGTTCGTCGGGTTTGTTCAAAGAGACTTATCCAAAGACAAGTTTGAGGATGTAGTTCTGAATAAAGGGATTCCAACGGTTGTTGGTCTTCTTCCGTATGGAAGTCTGATCTTAGGAGTCTAGCTTTGTAAGCGTAAACTGCGTAGAATCGTATTAGAGAATACTACTACTGTTACAAGCGTATTTATAGAGAAGTAAGTCGGCAATAGGAGTTACGTCCTATCTAGGGTAGGTCCGTCCGTTGAGGACTGAGTACTATACAAAGTAAGAGAAGTGCGAGAAGAGCGGAAGTATATGTGAAGGACGTGAGTCATCGGTCCGATGGTATAACCAATGAGTAAAGAGAAATGAGTAGTCCGTAATAAAGGTAGACAATTGTAACACCATTGAGATAGGCCATAGCTGGGCCATCTGCTGTGACAAGTGCTAGGAACAGTTTTGACGTGAATAGAATTTTTTTGAGGCGTCCCAGATACGTAGTCCTTCACATTGGATGGCAGAGAGATGATGTAGGCCTGGAAATATAAAGGAATCAATATTTTTTGGCTTGTTTGGTCCTGGTATGATCCCCCCCGGTAAAACACGTTTTTCTTGTATTGTTTATCTGGCAAAAGGTCAAAGACTACCCAGATATAAATCCAACAGTTGGAGGCCTTTTTTCATATAGCTGAACATCATCCATTGAGAATATTAGTACTGTATCACCAGCTTGTATCCAACCATCTGCGACGGCATTGAGGTAGTTGCTTCCAGTGAAGAAGTTGTCATAGGAACTGAGGACTCCATCATTGAGACTGAGTTCTTTATTTAGTTCTTGAGTTTGTATCTCCCAGTATCTCATATTAGTTGCATTGTCTGAGTCTTGCCAAATAGCTTGTATTTGAGGGCCTATTGGCATTGTATGGAACTGCTGACAAAAAACCTTTTTCTTCCCCTTAGATTGCATGAGCATTGCTTCGTTGTATTGTGGTTGAAGACATATTGGGCATTTGTCCAATGTAGCAAAGGGTCCAGTATATGCTATGCATGTATTGACACACATATCATGCACCAGCGACTCAACACCGCTCAACTCAGCCATACGGCACTTGATTTGATAGTGTGACTGGATCCTATCTATGTTCTCAGGGTGCAATTGGTGGTAGGCATCATGTACTTGGTGCCTGTTTGGACGCATTGGTAGTTGCTAGAAAAAGATCAAGTGCAAATCGCTCAAATGGACTTTTGAGGTGACATGTTTCTTGCGGGGGGTTTTGCAGTCAATTGAGAGCCTCGGGATCAAGTTTCATATGGGGGTCTTCAAGATGAGCCTCTTTTAAGGCGTTAACAAATGCCATGGCAGTCTTGATGTTGTCTAGCTTCGTGGTTCAAGCCAGGGTCTACAGGTCGACATCATCAAGTCCAAATGTTATGGGATCTTCGTATAGGTCACCTTGGCTTTCATGTTGATAAGGTTGACTGTTGTAATTTGTGCACTCAGTCTGGTGCACGAGATCGCACGCAAGTCTGTTGATTGAGTCAATGTTGATACTCTCAACTCTAAATTGTGGGAAATGTTCAGGATTGTATTAGATTAGATATAAATATGCTCATTTGTGAGAATTCTATGTAATTCAGTACAAATTGTTAGTCTTGTCCGAACTAAGGGTGGCGCGCGGGAGCCCCCCATTCGGCACCAATAAAGCTTACAAGGCGAGTCTGAGAATGGTCAGCAGGTACCACAAAATCGGCATGAAACGGCCACATTTACGAGAAACACAGGTCCACTAAAATTTGAGTACATCCTTACATGGCCCCTATGAAATATCAGCAAGGGCAGTCTACTACTTATTCTTTATAAATTGTATGCCTTTCAAAGGCTAAACCAGTGAAGTACTGTAGCATGATAATGATAATAAGGAAGCAATATACAGAAGACCCAAAACTGTGCTAAGAAATAAACTAAACTCGAAAAAAAGCTAGATACCATTCATATTGTCAAAACCCTTATTCCTCGATAAATATATATGTGGCTCTTGCCTGGATAATGACTTTCAAAAGGCAAGTCTGAGGAAAGTGTCGTACCTCTCCCCCAGTATTACAGCCAAACAATCCCACGCTGATAACAAATTAATAATATAATTACTCAAATATAGTAATATCTAAGTGCGTGTGAGATTGATCAACAAAATATATCAACTCAAGGTGTCTGCGCATGGTGGGCATGTGCGGTAATACATTGCGCTTGTTGTTGTCTTCTCCCACGTTGTCGGCAAAGTTCCCCTCGTCAAGTTGAATCGACGCTCACGCTCAAGGCAATGACTGGCAAGCCAAAACAAAAACGCCCCCTCCCGCTTCAAGCTCTCCCCCCATTGATGGTGATTAAATTGCGCCTGGTAGAGGATACCGTCTGCAAAATCCCGCAGTAATTTTGCACGAGTCACCATTGTTTCACCTACAGACCAATTCTCCATCCCTCCAACGTCAATAATTCCTTCATCATCTGACTCCTTGTCATCTTGGATGTCTGAATCCCCTTGTCCAGCAGCCATGTTTTTCAGCAAAACGGTGTCATCACTATTTAAATGGCCAGTTGGAGTGTCCAGCAAAATAAGTGCTGGATGCTTCCAGAACAGCATTGTTCAATTACGCTTGACCTCAAGGAAGAACAAGGGGGGGACAGGATGGACATCTTGAACAAGATGCTTGCAGAGGAGAAATTGGCTGGTACTGAAATGTGGGCAGGTACACACCCAGGTGAGTGTGTTCGGTCTGTATTTATTGTTCAACGGCATAGTAATTGGGGTCGTTGCCACCCGTTTCCAGTCCCACTTGAATGCCTTGCGCCATGATGCAAGTTCTCAATATGGGCCTTTGTTATCCATCAAACGGTCTAGCTTGCGATAATAGGTAGGCGCCAGCTTCATGACAAGGACCCATGCCAGAAGGTCAACGCACGTTTTGTGAAAATGGTGAAGAATGTCATGTTTGATACAACACCAACTATTGAATGTAAGTTACTAATGTCCCTCGTTATGTGTAAACTGACTTACTGGCTCTCTAGAATCATTGTGGCCTTGAGCACTGGAATCTCATCATGATATGATTGTGCCCACAATTCCCATTGCTCTAGCCTGTACCAGTTCTCACAGAGGTATGTGCAGGCTCCATGTAGATCATTCACAATGCAAAATTGATACATTTGCTTGACTGCCCAGTCACAAATCCCTCGGCGGCTTGGGTGCGAGTATCCAGGGATGAGAGGATGGGCACAGAAATACCTTTCCATCATATCAATGATCTTCTCCCGATGATTTTTGGGACAGAATGTGCGTTTTTCCTTCGTTGCCTTGTGCTCGATTGATTCCAACTGGTCTACAGTTTCCTCTTTAGGCCGCTTTGGCAACCTGATCATCAATTTCCTGTGGCCAGTGGTCTTGTCACCGTCACACTGACAGTTGGTTTCAATGGGTGGTGTGCTATTTGTTGTCAGTGGTGACACCATCAATGGCAGCCTAGGTATATGGAGGGGAATGGTATTTGGGGTAGGGCAAGGAGCTTCGTTGACTTGCGACACATCTGGGGCACCACCTTCATACTTGGTCATGTCTGCTTTTCTGGGGGGAACAAATGTTGTGTTGATGAAGGCAAATTCTGCATGCGCACGTTGGGGATTATATGGAGTTGTTGCCAGCTTATTTTTAGCCAGGCACTCCTGCATTGCTTGTCGTAGGTGCCACCAGCATAGTTGAATCTTTGCGTCCCAGATCTCCCGGAGCATGCCAATTTTAGCCATGTCCTTATTGACGTGCGTGAAGATGGGTACAACACCATATGTGTCACGTAGACACTTTACCCATGCTGTCAAGGCTACCTTCCGCTTGCCAATGTCTAGGGCACTTGCTGTGGATAGTACGCAGTATGACAGGGGAAACCCTGCATTGTCATATTCTCCAAGAACACTATAGAGTTTGAGATTCTTGGAGTTTGTATTATCTGTTAGTCAAGGTCAGTCTTGACATCATATGCAATGGCAGTGATTTCTTACACGTTGCGTTGATTCAAATCTCGACAACTTTTCCTTTTAGCCGCTGCGCAATTTTCTTCATGCCCCAACACAGCTGTTCAACACCATCCGCTACTTTGATATCAAATAAATCTACGTCATCCTTGAGCTCACTGAGAAGGATATACACAGAGGTAAGTTGGACAGGGTCCTTCTTCCAAAGGACCTCGCCCATTTCCGTCCATGCCCTATGGACTTGTTTTCCTGTTATGTGAGGATACAGGGCTTGTACCTTGGGCGTCATTGAAACTGGAGTGCTCCACTCAATATTGTTGCGTATGATCTGGATTGCCTTAGGCGGAATGGTGACATCATAATAAGGTTTGTGCCTCTGCTCATGCTTGAGTCGGATAGTCACAACACGAGTTCCAGAAGTGCGTTTCATGCATAACACATTGAGCTGGCTACCACAGTCAAACCTCTGCATGCCAACATGATCACAGTGTTTAACATCAGGCTTTGTGCTTGGCTTGGCTTTTTTCTTCCTCCCGTCATCCTGACAGCACCACAGACGAGTTTTGTGGCCATTTTGAGTCTTTGTATGATCCTTCACCCTAGCCACAGATGTCAGTGATATAACAGGAGGACAGACAGCTCCTCACGTGAATTGGTACCCAGTGGTCTTCCATATGTCGCTAATGGTCATCTCAACTCTTTTTTTATCATTGACAAATGGATCTTCTGCAAGCTGGTAGCTGCCGAAGAAGCTCACACTCTCTCTGCTCTTGAAGTCTTCTTGGAGTGCGCAAAATAATGTGTTACTGTTTTCATAGACTTTTATGGCCTGCTAACATGGCTTAGTTAGCTCCTTACTTGGTGAGTTGTAGATCTACAGTTCCAGGGCCATCCTCGTCTGAACTGTCATGCCTTTCAGGTATTGGAGGTATGACCTCAGGGGTCCCTTCTCCAGTAAGTCTACCCACCTCGTCTGTAGTCTCCTGGTGCGGAGCAGGTGCCTGACGTGGAGGTGGATCTGTGTGTTCGTCACCTCTCCTTTTTGTTTGGTGTGCAGTGACAGCCATTCTTGCTTTTTCTCTACAGGAGGAACACATCTTGTATGGCAGGCCATTTCTACCAATGTCTTGCTCGGGAACTATGTTCTTGCATGATTTTTGTGAGCATTCCATTAGGAAAGTATAGAGGTAGCAGGCGATGTAGAGTTGGAACTTGAAAACACATAGAAATTATTGCCAAGTACAGTAAATTACACGAAATTTAGAAGTCACGTGGATTTCACGTGACTTTGTTTGGCTGTAATACTGGGGGAGACGAGGGCCAGCTGTCTGAGGATGCTCTTGCAGTTTGAGTTAGCGCTTGCTGGGTTTCAAGTTGCTGAGTTTATGTTGAGTTTCTGCTGATCTCGGGTTTAAGTTTCAAGAAGTCGTGTTATTGACACCGAATGGGGGGGTACGCCACTCTTAGTTCGGATCAGACCTTACTGATATCGACTGTCATATCAGTAATTTGGTCTGACTGGGGAGACTAACAAATTGTGTCGTTTCCGACTGGGACTGAAGACTACTATCGATCTGAATTCAGCCGTAACCAAACAGGTGAACCATGCCCATCATGAAGCTCAAGCTCAGCTGCTACTTTCCGGTGGAGCCACCGTTTTTCACGCAAATCATTTTTGAGGGCAATGACACAGTCGATTTGCTGTTGCGGGAGTTCCACAAGCGGCTCAAGGAGGTTGACTACGATGTCCCACTGAGAGACCTTGTGCTGTACAAGGTGTGTCTGCCACCTAGTCTACGATGCCAAATGACTGACCCTGGATAGGCGGATGTCAAGATAAAGCCCGAGGTGGATCTGACAGACCGTGTCATTCAGTGGCTTCGCATCCAACCAGAGGCAGCCGAGCTCAGTGTTCTACATGATATTGGAGACGTGTTCACCGAAGCCCTGCCAAATGGTACTCTTCATATCATTGTTGCCAATGCCGAGAGTGCGTTTTTTCATGTGTTTCCATACCCCTCCCTAGCCCCCTCACCCCGTTTCAGTCAAGGAGCTACTTGACTTTGTTGACGATCCTCAAGCGCGGTCTCGGATACAGATTAAGAAAAGTACGAGTCCACCCACTTGTCACTTGTTCAATCCTCATTATTTTTGCAGAGCTCGGCAAGCAGTTCGCCAAACTATCATCCAGCCCCTCCCCATCTGCAGTTGTAAGGAGCGCTGATGCATTGGCAAAGTTCCTCAATGCCGATGGCCATCCTGTGTGCCTCGATCAAGTCCCAGCCGCCATGTTCAGCCCGCCACTTGCGCACCTACAACGGGCCCTCGCCGAGCTTGGCGATCTCGAGGTGACCGAACATGATGTCAGCCACGCGTCTAGCTTCCTCAGCAGTACAATCATGTCTTATCACAATGAGGACAGTCGCCGGAACGCCATTCGGCAGCACGTCGACCACTTAATGGGGGAGCCTGGTCAGTGGGAGGAAAGGCTTGACCGGGTGGGGAACATCCAGCCTGATGCGAGTTGGTGGCAAGGTGAGTTCCCTGTCACAATCCTGGAGCTGAAAAATGCCCCTGGTATTGGCGGAGATCCTTTTGTTCAAAGTCTTGCCGACTACAGCAAGATTGTGTCGGACCCCCAGGTGCGGCAGCACGCATCCACGTTCGTATCTCCGTTGACGTGTCCTTTCTAGCTTGCGCACTTTCAAGGATCCTGCAATTTCCCTGTCTTGCTTCTCGGTCTCTCGGGAAATCGGATCGAGATTGGTGTGGCTGTCTGTGTTGGCTCTATCTACGCATCCAGGCTAGTCGCCTTCAATATCACCCCCGGATTTCACTTGTCCGAGAACATCATCCATGCGGCTCGAATCTTCAGGTGCCTTTCATCGTGTCGAGCGGCACTGGCAGCGCACTACCGCGCAGTTCAGGGCAACCACGTAACTATTGCGGCAATCTACCCTGACCCAACCTCAGTATCAGGCAATGCATTGCCGTGCCTGACCTACCACGGTGTCCTCTTGCGAACCGGCGAGCACATTTCGACCAGCTTGCCAGACCTGGGAGTTGGGACCACCGCGCTGTACCGGGCTACCCTTGGTGACGCTGCCACCCCTGATGGTGCTACCGAGGTCGTCGTCAAGTTTGCGAGTCGGTACGGTAAAGCAGCCCACCGCCTCTTATCCGATGCCAAACTGGCCCCAAAGCTCCACTGGTGCGAGCCAATCATCGGGGGCCTTTTTATGGTCGTCATGGACCATCTCGAAGACGGTGCATCAATCTGGCGACTGCGAAACAGTTCAAGGCCCAAACCTGTTCCCGAAGCTGTCTTGAGGGATGTTAAAAGGGCACTAAAGCTCTTGCACGAGAATAGGTTTGTGTTCGGAGACCTGCGTGACACGAATGTTGTTTCTTCCAAGGAGCAAGGGTTTCTCGTTGATTTCGATTGGGCTGGGAAGGAAGGAGAGGACAGATACCCAGCCGCGCTCAATGAAAATAATAAGTGGCATGCCGAGGTTCGTGCGCACGCCGTTATGAGCAAGGCGCATGATGATTATCAGTTCGAGCAGTTGGAGGCTCAGCTGAAGTAGTTTGTTATATCCTTTCAAGACCTTTTGTACCATAGCTCCCAAAATCGCATTACATTTGTCACCCACTCATTTTCACCGGACTTTCACAGAATATGCAGTTGGGAGGGATAACATGACTTCTAGTTCTCGCACAGGTTTGATATTACAAGTGCAATGGAATAGGCTGCTAAAAGCTTGAACGAGCTGTAAGACTTCTCATTTTAATCTGACGTAGTTACTTGCAGATAATCCAAGAGTATAGTGATGCATTGAATCATCTTTATATTCTTGTGGTGCACGTGTAGTAGTACCTAACAATAATTAATAGTATTGAGTAGAGAGGATACTGACAATGAAAAATGGCCATCTATGCTTCCGACTTTTCTTTTTCTTCCTCCGTAGGATCGTGGATAATCCTCATAGAATCCCACCATTGTGGTCCATACAAATAGTACAACACTCCAAAAGTCGCGCCGCTCAAATGCGCATAATGATCAAACATCCTGTACCAGAGCCAGAGATCAGCAAAACAAAATCAAAGCAGTAGCAATACAATCTCTTACTTCCAACCACGCAATATACCAATAGCGTCCAAGGCTATAATAGCACCCACACCTGACTGGATAGGAATTGCAAAGAACGGGAGGAATATGAGGCTGATACTAGCATCAGGGAATGCCAGTGCGCTGAGTGTGACAGCTGCGTAAATGGCGCCTGAAGCCCCTAAAGATGGGAGAATCTCCTTTGCCGTCGCACCAGCAGCGGATTTGGCAACTGTTCCAGCCGCCAGAGTGCCACTAGGTTTTGAGAGTTGCGATACTAGGCACGGGAATAATACCTTCACTCATGTAAAACAAAAACACTTGAAATTCTCTAAAGCTATGGGACTATGGTTGCACTCAAGTGGGAGTGACAAATCCGGACAAATCTGTATCACAGCACAATGGGATCCGCACCCATGTACAGTGATTCTGGACCTTCTGGGCATGCAACCAATCAGTATGCTTTCCAAGTATGCCTTGGTAGCTTAGTTGGTAAAGCACCAGACCATGAAAGCTGGAGTCCGTCCCAGGTTCAAGCCCTGGCCAATGCATGTTTTCTCATACTATAAACAAATGTCATAATTTGTCAATCCGGTCTCTGCTAAAGCAGCCATGGTTTTTAATGGAGCATCACCACCACTCCATGGAGTTACCTATCATTCTCCTAGGAGTCATTATACTGTAGCGAGTAGCACCTCCGACTATAAGTAGTAGGGGGTTTAGTATAGAAATACCTCAGTCGTTTCTATAGCCTCTCAGGCAGTGGCTGGGTTTCACTTAGTTTTATTAGGTTATGAGCCCTGGTGCGCAAAAGCTACACAGGAAATAATTCTTTTTTGAAACAGCAACCTCGGAACCATGATCACAGCACACGATACATCCGCATGTCCAGTTCTCACTGGACCCAACACTTTTCAGATATGGAAACTCTGGATCATCTCAAAGCTACGTCAGGAAAATGTTCTCTGGGTTGTTACTGGAGAGGAGCTTAAGCCCTCACCAGGAAAACCTACCTCCTTGGAGGATCCTGAGATCACCTGAACACTTAAGGATGAGAAGGCACATGGAATCATCCAGGACCACATCTCTGATGCCCTCCTAATGAGGACTGGAGACCTCACCAGCTCCAAGGAGTTATTTGATAAACTTGTCTCACTCCATCAAACATCCAACATTGCCTCGGCCTTCTATTCATTCCAGCAACTCACCAAATTGTCCTGGGATGGGACATCACCTATCCAGAACCACATTGCGAAAATCCGGACAATTGATTCACACCTCTCTGGAATGAAACTAGGAGTTGATACCAAACTCATGGCTTTCGCTCTTCTCCAATCTCTCCCATGCACTCCTGAATGGCAAATATATTTCAGTCATCAGTAATCAACACGATTGAAGAAAATAAACTTACCTTTGATGCAGTTGAGATCTGGATCACTGCAGAAGTTGCACGACAGTCAGGGAAGGCCCCTGGAGGTTCCGAATCATACTCAAATCCGAGAAAAAGTGGTGTGACTTTCACAAAGCTAAATCACACAACACCTTGGAGTGTCAAACACTTCAGTCAGCTAGAAAAGGTCAAAGGAAGAAGGGAAAGGAAAGACACAAGAATAAGGAAAAGAGAAGGAAAAGGCAAATACGGCGGAGCAATCATCTGGATCTGACTCCAAGGAGGAACAGAGTCATATTGCATATCTGAAGCAATGGCTCAACTTGCATTTGTATTCCTATGACAGCAACTTGCCAGCAAGCCCATAATCCTAATTTACAGTGATACTCATATTGCATTGGATCATGTACATATTTCCAAGCCCCTTGCTAAACACATTCAAGCTTACCTTGTGTCAGAACCCGATAAGACCAAAACAACAATTATTATTGACTCTGGAGCAACATCCCACACGATCCCTCACCGCTCCTGGTTTGAGCCAGGAACATACCATGTTCTGCATCCTCTGAGGACAATCAGTTTTGGGGATGAATCCTCTGTAAATGCCATTGGAATTGGAACTGTAATCCTACAAGCAACTGTTGGCAATAAGGACTACAATATTGCACTGTCAAATGTCTCACTTGTGCCAAACTTCACTTTAGCACTTGTCTCTGTCCACAAATTGTCTAAAACGGGGTTATCAACACTTTTTCCAGCAGGGTCAAATGCTTGTAAGGTTTGGAAAAAGAAGGAACTTATCCTCACTGCCTTACACAACCGAGGACTTTATCACATCCAAGCAAAACCTGAAATCAACCCAAAGTCAGCTTTTGCAGCAGTAGATGTAAATTTATTGCACAGGAGTATGGGACACATTGGAATGGACTGCTTGCAACAAATGGTTACATAAGGACAGCTCCAGGACATAGACACCCATACCGGAACCCCGGAGTTTTGTGAACCTTGTGCTTTAGGAATGATGAAGAAATTACCTTTCAAGTCTACTGGAGGAAACCAAGCCAAGCGCCCCATACAACTTTCAGGCAGGGTTTTTGGTACTGGATTATCACTGTAGATGATTTCTCCAAATTTCCATGGATATATTTTCTAAAACATAAAAGTGAACCACTGGAACGATACAAGCAATGGAAAGAAGATGTCCAAATATTCTTAGACTCATTTGGGAGAAGAAAACTTCACTCCACTATACACAGAATTCCTTCGGAGTGATGGGGGAGGAGAATTGTCACAATCCCTCTCTCTCACACCTGACACTTCACCTTTTCTCTCAAACTCAGACGTCGAGACTCTTATCTCTCCTTATCTTATCACATAGCTTTTTCCTTTATCTATATCTTATCTCATCACGTGACCTTAAGTCATGTAATTACTTACAAATCATCTTACCAAGATACATGCTACATCCTCATGTCTATCAGTCAGCGCCTCATGGCTGACATGAGTTCTTACATATATAAGTAGACACTCAACAATGTACATACCTTAGCTTTTGATTTAGTCTTTATATGACCTGTTCAACTACCTGCTTGCAATTGACGTTGAGTTTGCCTGGTTTCTTCCAGTAGTGCAGCTCAGTCGTTATATAATCAAAAGCTAGTGGAGCACCTAGTTGATAACACAAACAAAGGCTATTCTTACCATCATCCTAACCCCCGTCATCACCATCCTACTCTTCGTTCTACTCAAACTTTACATCCGCCTCATCACACCACTTCCTTCAATCACATCTCCTATCACTTGCCCATCTACTATCATCACATTCATCCAATCCTCCCCCTCTAACTCTTCTTTCGGAACCATTCCCCTATCTCCCATCATCCGCCCCCACAACCCAGTACTCAGAGAGCCCAGTGACGTGGAGTCATTGAGGTTTTATTAGATACAACATTTCTTTACGCTTCTTACCAGGTCGCACACTTGTGTCCGCCAGTAGAAAAAGGACTGCACGCGGTTAACGCTGGTCATCACTGAGACAACCGTTCAGACCTCAGTTACGATACTTTAGAACACAGGTACTATAGATAAATAGTTTACGTACACGCTAAGCGGGGACAGAAAAGGAACCTGTTAGCAGAAGGAAGACAGAGAAAGGGATCTTTCATTAAAGACGTGTTGATCCAGACTTGTCATCTGGGGAACCTTCTTGGATGCCCTTTGCATCAATTTCACTTTACCCAACTAGATCCCCAATTGATTGGTCTTCTCTTGAGCCAATCATAAAACAAGAATGACTATCCCCCGCTCTATCATTTTTATCATCACAACCATCCCTGAACAATGTCCTTCGAAGCGTGGAGAGAAACCAACCCCGACATGATAGGGTCAACCGACATGTCCGATTTACGCGACACATTATTGCATACTCCGCCGCGTGCACTATCGCCGGCACCCAACCAGCAGCAGCAGATACACAACCTGCAGAACTTAATCACGATGGCGGTCAACACAGCCATCGCAAACAACAACGAGCTGTGGGAAGAAATATTTGCATCAAAAGACGTAGAAGTGCTCGAATTGCGAAGAAGACTCGCAAAGACAGAAAGGAGGCAGCCTTTAGGGATGGGCCTGCCACGCGCACCAGAAGCCGAGTTTAGAAAAATGGCACTGGCAAAACCCAAACCCTACGACGGAGACAAAAAGAAGTTTTGAAGCTTCTCGGAGTCTCTAGAACTCTATTTCACTGCAAACCAAGCATACCTTTCCCGAGAAAGAAATTGGATAAGTTTTGCTTTATCATATATGAGCATCGGAGCAGCAGCGGCCCTGAGAACAGAATGGGTCGAGAGAAGGAAGATTGCGGAAGAAAGATCAGATGGAGGAGAGATCACACTCTTAGAAAGCTGGGCTCACTTCAAGAGGACTCTCAAAGATCACTTTGCAGACACACACAAGGAGGAAAAAGCAAAGTACGAGATCATGTACAAGAAGCAGGGAGCTCTGACAGCTCAAGAGTTCTTTGTAAAGTTCAAGGAGTTGAGGAGGCAAGACGGCTATGACATCAAAAGGAACGAACAGTTTTTGATCACCTTGATCAGAAACAATGTAAATGGTCCGCTTATCAAGCAGATCATCTACAATGGGAACGTTCCCACGATATATGTGGAGTGGAAGGCAAGGATTGTCACCAATAATCAATTGTGGCGAGACCAGATGGAGAATGAGAAGATGATGAAAGGATCAACCAGCGGCAGCTCCGGTACAGGGAACCGGGGACCCAATGGAAGATACTAAGAAAGGGGCACTTCGGAGAAAAAGGCCGAGACGGTGGAATTAAAGAAAAACGGCACGGGTACGCTATACACTGGAGCCGGAAAAGAGATGGAAGTAGACAAGCAGAAGTTCCGAGTAGAAGGACACTGCTTCAAGTGTGGAGAAAAGGGCCATAGGGCCAGAGACCACCTAAACGGACAAATACCAGAAAAGAAACCAAAGTTTGACCTTTGAGCAATGTTAGAAGCAATGCTGGAGGAAGAACGAGCCAAATTGCTCCAGGGTTTTTAAGAAGGCCGGCTGCAACTCCTCACCAGACTGTGCCAAAGAACAATGTAAATAGATATGCTTCTCTCACTGTCGATAATCTTAATGCTACATGTACTAGTAAAGATGAAAATGATATCGCCTTATTTAAAGACACACAAGATTTAAGACGAAAAGAGCAATCTATGAAAGAGGAGAACCTGAAAGGGAAACAGGTTGATAAGATTCCCAAAGATGCGGCGCAGTCAGTACCTAAAGGGGATAGGACTGAAAGAAGCGCAGCAGCTAAAAAGGAGACAACTGAAGCACAGAATGTTATGACTCAATTGGGTAGCATAACTGAGACTGATGCTCCAACCCGCTCCAAAGAGGTCAGGAACACCTCAGATAAAAACCTAGACAAAAAGAAAGATCTGAAAACACCATGGACAGCTGTCTGGATAGCAGAAAGACTCAGGGACCAAAAGGAAGAAAGATCTATTGGTATCCTAAGTAGCTGGACCCATAAGAAACGAGGACTAGAAGTCAATGCAGACCTGATAAAAGAACTAAACACTTTACCAATTCACGAAACGGTATTAGCATTGGAAGAACTGAGAAAGCCCAAACAATTCATTTGCGGCACTCAGGGAAACCAAATGAATGTCACCTGCAGACTGACAAACCTCGCATCACATCAATCAACAACAATTGAAGCACTACTAGATAGTGGCTGTGCCGGAAGTTGCATAGATAACAAATTTGTTGAAGAACAGGGATTGTTACGATAACACAATTTCCGGACATTTCCTTTCTTTTTATTCTCCGCTTCAACTATATACTTTAAGTGCCATGCAGCATTTCCCCTTTCCCGCGCCGCGTTGCCTTTCTCTTATTTTTAGATTCAACTCTCTCACGCAGTGGAGCTGGCCATACGGGCTAGGCCCTATGACATCATCAGCCACTGCCTTCATCAACTGTATAGTACACATGTACAGACAAACCTGTAGTAGTATATATACCCCAATAGATCCAGGAGACTCCTCAGCGAGTCCTCCTGTTGTATACCAACTAACTCACTGCAGCCTAAGGGGTGACCACTCCCCAACTTCATCTTCTTTATAGTGTGTTCTGAGTGCGCCAGAGTAAATCACTCTTGGTTGTTACAGGGATATGAAAGGCAAAGAATCCCTAGACCAATTCCAGTCTATAATGCTGACGGCACTCCAGGGTGAAGGAGATTGGTTAGCGGTTAGGAATATCCCGTATAGTAGATAGGTGCGCTCCTAGCGACGGCCTTGTAGTGCTTTGGGAGAAGAACCCAAAACCTTTGATATGCGGCCCCCAGCGTTAAGGGGAGTACCATAGCTCAGCAGTCGGTGTGGAACCGCTGTTGATTAGATTTAGAATACAAAACTTCACCTTTGAATACCTCTGACCAGGCCGGGCACTTGCCTCCGCCAGTCTGGAGAAGGGTTGACAGCTTAACAAGCGGACCACCCCCTGACAACCGTTCGGACCAGGGTTTATTACAAATACATTTTATATACCTTTTCAAATACTATAGTGTGGGTAGTCGGAGATTGAAATCCGATACTCAGCTGGGAAGAGGCTGATCCGCAGATAGCAAGCGGGGACCCCCAGTTACCTTTTTTTTACATTACCAAAGAGAACAAGTTGACATGTTGTTGCAACCCCAAGATATGAATGCTCTGCTGCACACCATGCGCACGCAGATTGCAGCATTAACCTCGCAACTCACCGAGATACAGGCAAACCCCCCTGTAGCAACCCCCTCGGTAGAGAAGAAGTTCAACAAAAAGGTCGAAGTCATCGCTGACCCCGGCGCCTTCGAGGGAGACAGAGCGCAATTCGCCAAATGGTGGATTAAACTCCAAATTTGGGTCAAAGCAAACTGGGATGCGTTTGCCCACGATGTTGAGGTAGCCACTGCAGTGCTATCTCGCCTAAAAGGACCTGTGGCGGGTCGATACGCCCAAGTACAATTACAGGAGTGCTACACTGCGGGAGTGTGGCCCACCTGGGACAATCTCAAGATAGAGATCAAAAAATATTTCAAACCGCAAGCTGAGCGTGACTGGGCAGGTCAGCAAATCCATTCCTTCAAACAAGGAAACATGAGGACGGATGATTTCGTAACCCGGTTCCTGGCCCTCTCAATCCAAGGGGGTCTTGGCAATGAACACGCAGTAGAACTGCTAGAACACAATGTGAACCCTTGCATTGCAGAACAGATTTATCTGCAGGATACACGAAGCGACAACTTGGCCCTGGCGGCTGAGGAAGTACGACAAGTTGGTAGAGCCATAGAGCTCTACACTATGCACCAAGGTGGCGGGTCCACCAAACAAAACAACACATCTCAGAGGCGCCCTGGGTCATCAAACTAAAATCATAATCACTCTCACGGGTTCAAGCTGTTCGGGCTGCAACCAGGGCAGGGAGCCCCCATGGATATCGGTGCGGTCCAAGGCGGACACATGCGCAGATTCAAGGGGAACTGCTACAATTGCAGCCAAGAAGGACACATGTCCCAAGATTGCGGAAATGGGGCGCAGGCCGCCCAACAAAAAAATAACCAAGGGCGCCAGGTGCGCCAACTAGAATCCGAGAAGCCGGACGATTGGCTCAACTCTTTGGCCGGTTGTTCGTACGACGAAATCCGGGCCTTCTTCTATGACCAACAGGTCAATGAAATGAAGGCTCAGGGAAAAGAATTCGGGGCTTCGCTCCTGTTAAAAATGAAGTAAACCACAACAAAGTGGCCCCTGCTCCGGGGTGTTGCACGAGCAATAAAGGAAAGACGGGGATGGCTCCCCAATTTGTAAATAAATTTCTAAATTTGTTATCAGAAGCTTGTACTTATATGAAACATTGTGACTGTAATATTTATGATACTACCGCTGCACCAGCGTCTCCCTTGGAGCGTGGCCCCGGCGAGACAAAAACTAGGGTGCTTGATTCTGGTAAAAATAAAATAGAAAAACATGTAAAGTTCAATGTTTCCCCTTCCTCTTTGGAGCCACCCTTTCCCGAAATCCCAAGGCATGTGTTGATGCGCACGTATTTATTCCAAAAGGAGATTTGTTTAGACGTTGGCGTGGAAAACCTTGCCCGGGGCAAAGTACACTCAACTAGCGCACTGCTTGATTCAGGCGCTAACGGGATCTTCATAGATCAGGTCTGGGCGGAGCAAATTGGACTCCCCCTTGTAAAATTAGATGTATCTATTCCCGTCTATAACGTTGACGGTACGCTTAACGCAGGTGGCTGCATCACGCACAAATGTTCTTTTGTGGTCGAATACCAAGGACACAGAGAACGAGTCACTGCCGAAGCTACCCAACTAGGGAAGATTAATTTAATCTTAGGCTGGACCTGGCTATTTAAACATAATCCCAAGATCAACTGGCAGACAGGGGTTGTCACATTGTCACGTTGCCCTCAGGAATGTGTGAACTTGGGTAAACCAAATCATGTCCGTCACGATGAGCGTCTTGAAAAGTTAAACGCTAGTCACATTTACGAGCTCAGATCTTTAGAAAAGATCGACAATGACAATGATGAGGTAAAACCTGAGGAAGAGATTAAGAGGCTGGTACCTCCTGAGTACCATGACTTCTGGAAAGTCTTTTCAAAACACAAATCAGAGCACTTCCCAGAGGCTAAGCCTTGGGACCATGCTATAGATTTGAAGGACACTTTCAAACCCAGGAAAGGACATATGATACCGCTCTCTGCTCCAGAAAGAGATGAGGTATCTAGCTTCATAGATGAACAACTTAGGAAGGGTTACATCAGACCTTCCAAAAATCCTATGACCTCCCCGGTGTTCTTCATTCCTAAAAAGGATGGTAAGAAGCGAATGATTATGGACTATCGTTACGTGAATGAGCACATGGTTAAAAATGCGTATCTGCTGCCTTTAATTAGTCAGCTAGTGGACAAATTGGCTGGCGCCAGGATCCTAACAAAGATGGATCTCAGATGGGGATACAATAATGTACAAATCAAAGAAGAAGATGCTTGGAAGGCTGCGTTCACGTGCCACCGAGGATCTTTCAAACCCCTTGTTATGTCCTTTGGGTTGACCAATTCACCGGCAACCTTCCAGAGCATGATGAACGAGATCTTTGCGGATATGGAAAACTGTGTCGTCATTTATATTGACAATTTATTAATATTTACAAAGTCGGACGATGAAGCTGAGCATGACAAGATCGTGCAAGAAGTCCTTTGCCGCTTACAGGAACGGGACCTATTCATCAAACCCGAAAAATGTAATTTTAAAGTGAAGGAAGTAGACTTCCTCGGTATGATCATAGGCCAGAACGGAATCAGGATGAACCCTGAGAAAGTTCAAGCTATTTTGGAATGGCCAGAACCTACTTGTGTCAAAGGAGTTAGGGCCTTCCTTGGCTTAGGCAATTTCTACCGAAGGTTTATTGAAAACTTTGCAAAAATCACGAGACCGTTGAACGATCTCACAAAAAAGGACATTGTCTGGCATTGGGGCGCCAAAGAACAAGAAGCTTTTGATAAGCTTAAACAGGCATTCACAACAGCGCCCATATTAGCATTTCCAGAATTAGATAAAGAGTTCTGGCTAGAAACCGACTCTTCTGATTTTGCTACTGGGGCTGTTCTATCAATCAAATGCCCTGACAATCTTTGGAGGCCTTGTGCCTCTTTATCGCATAGTTTGTTGCCTACAGAGCACAACTATCAAATATACGATAAGGAGATGCTGGCCATCATTAGAGCTCTAGAGCACTGGCGGCACTACTTAGAAGGTGCTAGACACCAATTTGAAATTTGGACCGATCATAAAAACCTAGAGTACTTTATGACGGCCCGAGACTTGAACCGAAGACAGGCCCACTACGCGGTGTACTTGTCAAGGTTTAATTATAAATTAATTCATAAGCCTGGAAGCTCAATGGGGAAAGCAGATGCTTTGTCCAGACGAGAGGATCATGCCAACGGCATCAAAGATGACAACAAAGGTGTTACCTTGATAGATCAATCAAGGGTTGCCAATGTTGGAATCGGGCAAGATTCCAATCTTCTAGAAGTCTTTAAGAAAGACATTTCCTCAGAAGAGAAGGCGCGCCTTGACGGCAATGAAAATTATTTATGGGAAGACGGGCTCTTCTATTTTAAAAGCAAAATCTATGTGCCTGAGTCCGCAAGGGTCAAGGCAATAGATAGACATTATGACACTCCAGTGGCTGGGCACCCTAGATGGCAACGAACAATGGAGTTGATCTCCAGAAACTACATGTGGCCTGGCATGGTCAAAGACGTACAGGAATACGTAAAATCCTGTCTAAGATGTGCCACCAACCGCCGGCCGGTAAACTCATGCCGAACCCAATACCAGCTGGACCCTGGCAGGATATATTGGTTGATTTCACGACGGATCTGCCCGAGTCAAACGGGTATGACTTAGTAATGGTAGTAGTAGATCGCTTCTCCAAGGAAGTGGTTTTTATACCTACCAACAAAACCATTACCGCTGCCGGTACGGCAGATTTATTTAAAGATTTGGTATGGTCCATCCACAGATTACCAGAGACGGTGATCTCCGATAGGGGACCACAATTCGCTAGCGAATTTACAAAAGAATTATGCCGGATGGTGGGCATCAAACCTAAATTATCAACAGCGTTCTATCCGCAAACTGATGGACAAACGGAGAGACTCAACCAGGAGTTGAAACAGTATCTCCGGATATTTATTAATGACAGGCAGACGGATTGGGCCAAGTGGCTGAAGATAGCCCAGTTCTCATACAATGTCAAACAGTCGTCGGCTACAGGAAAAGGACCATTCGAGGTTACTAGATCGTACCTCCCCAAAATGGGTGTAGAACCTGGCAAAAGCAAAAACAAGGCTGCTGGGAACATGGCAAAAGACATGAAATCTGTCTTAGATGAAACGCGCAAGGCGCTATTTAAAACTGCAGAGCAGATGGAAGACAGGGCAGAGCGTAGACGCTCTAAGGCCCCTGATTACAAGGTCGGCAACCTGGTCTGGTTAGACACCGACCATCTAAAATTAAAAGATCGGCAGTCCAGAAAACTGACCAAAAAGTGGATTGGCCCTTACCAGATTAAGGAAGTCAAACCCAACACAGTGGAGCTGGAACTCCCAAAACAAATGAGGGTAGTGCCCACGGTCAATATTAGCCGTGTGAAACCCTACAAAGGACCGCTGCCGGTGTCATGCACCAAAATTGATTGGTAGCATGGACAGGTGTCAATAACGAAGCGAATATTCGAAAAGACTCGCCTTTGCGCCACACAGGCATAGTGCCATGTGGAATAGTAATTAATATTGCCTGTTTCGAACTTGTGGCTAATCAGCACCACCTCTATTAGGCAATCCAGTCACGCTCACCTTTGCTTTTCCATGCGGTACTTTCCGTGTTTTGGCATTTCGGCAAATTTTTGCGTTGCCACTGGCTACACATTGCATTGCGCCCTTGTTTTTGTTGTTTCCCTTACTCCCCTTCCTCTCCTTTTTATTCTCACTTGATGGTTGTTTCTGGATCCCCATTCTAATCCACTTTTTCATCACCTCCACCCTCCTCCTCCTTCTCTTATTTGCACCCCCACTATTTCTGATGTCATCACTTCCTATCCGCTTCCGTCGCCAATCCGTTGACTACCACGTGCCACTGCTGATATCAGCAAAGCCCCGGCGGCCAGTCCAAATAGGGCAACAGGTCCATCTTCATGACATCAATCTGCCATCATATACTATCAAAACATCGGCCGCTCATCTTGCCTGGTTGGAGCGTGGGTGGGTAGTTTTTGAGCTGGAGAAGGTTTATCCTCTTGCATTGCCCATGTTCATTGCTGTCCCATTCACTTGGGTACACTTATCTTTTGTCCATTGTCTTCACTACAGCTACACCTACCACACGCTGCCTGGGACTCACTTGTTCCAAATTGGAACTACTCCTCTCCCTTCCTCATTTGATCAGGTGGTCCAACACAACCAATCCATTGGTAAGGCCATGGAACTGTCAGATTTGGACTAGGTGGTGGACCGGTGGCTCCAGTTTCTTTTTCTTCAGCAGAACATTCATTTACAGTGCAATTATTTTTGATTTTTGAATCATTTTTATGGACACATATTTTTTTAGAATGCCTGACTGACAATAAAGGAACTGTGTTGATACTGATAGTGTTTTTCCTTGCCCTTTTTTTTACTGCAGTGTGGTCACAATACTTCCCACTGCTACCACTGCTATCTGCTGTCATCGTCACTCGTCATTTTTGAAAGTCACTGTCATCCCTTTCGATTAGAGTCCTTCTGAGCACTACAGTTTGTGCGTCAGGAGCCTGCTATCACTGGGAACCTCGTCACCTTGTCATCTTTGTCATTCTCAAACCTACTTTGTGCTACAATTAGCAAGGTAGTGCTCATCTATACTCGTCATTAAGCCCCCATCTTCTATAAATTCAACTATCCCTCCTCCTCAAAACCCACACCCATATCTCTCTGGGTTTTACTTTGAAGGACCTTCATACATACCACCCCACGAACAACCAGAGCACCCACTGTTCTAGGAGGCAAAGCCCATAAACAAGTTCCGTGGAATCTGGGAGGATTGTTTGTTAGTTTGTTTTTGTGTGTGGTTTTCTAACAACAGTTCTCATCATCGACACCGGGACAGCGTGTAGACCGGCCCAGACCGGTTGTAGTCACCCAGGAAGGTGAAGAAGAATTCAAGGTCAAACAAGTAGTAGACGCACACTTAAAGCGTGGAAAATTAGAGTTCCTGGTCCTATGGAAGGGCTATGGAGACGAGGACAGAACGTGGGAACCAGAATCCCATCTGGAAAACTCCCGCAACGCTGTTCGCAAATTTTATTCTAAGAATCCCTCAGCTCCCAGGAAGCTTAGAGGCATGGATTCAAAACTTTTTAATTCCCTTTTTCAACCTATGCCCAAAAATTTCACCACTACCTCCAACATTTGGTTTCGCCTGGAAGTCGAGCCTTAGAAGGGGGGTAGTGTTACGATAACACAATTTCCGGACATTTCCTTTCTTTTTATTCTCCGCTTCAACTATATACTTTAAGTGCCATGCAGCATTTCCCCTTTCCCGCGCCGCGTTGCCTTTCTCTTATTTTTAGATTCAACTCTCTCACGCAGTGGAGCTGGCCATACGGGCTAGGCCCTATGACATCATCAGCCACTGCCTTCATCAACTGTATAGTACACATGTACAGACAAACCTGTAGTAGTATATATACCCCAATAGATCCAGGAGACTCCTCAGCGAGTCCTCCTGTTGTATACCAACTAACTCACTGCAGCCTAAGGGGTGACCACTCCCCAACTTCATCTTCTTTATAGTGTGTTCTGAGTGCGCCAGAGTAAATCACTCTTGGTTGTTACAGGGATATGAAAGGCAAAGAATCCCTAGACCAATTCCAGTCTATAATGCTGACGGCACTCTTAACCGAGATGGCAGTATTAAAGAATTCGTAGAACTATTAGTAGAGATTAATAACCACGCCGAAAGACTCCAACTGGCGGTTACCAACCTTGGAACTGATAGGATGTTTTTAGGCCACAAATGGTTAAAAAAGCACAATCCCACAATAGACTGGAACTCGTCAAAATTAGACTTCAACAGATGTCCATCAGACTGCAACATGATGGTAAGATTTTTCGATCCTGAAGAAGATTTCGAGACGTATTGCCCTGAGGTCAATCTTAAGGAGGGGGATAAAATCATCCAATTCAATTTTTTTCTTAAATGTCAAAGACACATCCATTCCTGACGTAATGCATCATATCCGCGCTCACGGCACAACAGCCCAACAACTTGCCAAAGCAGCAGGAAAAGATCAAAAAACAGGAGGCTTTGAAGGAATAGTACCAAAACACCTTCATGACTTTAAAGATGTCTTTGATAAAAAGGAATTCAACGCCCTTCCCGAGAGAAGACAATGGGACCACGTGATTGAGCTGATACCAGGTGATCACACGATAGACTGTAAAGTTTATCCTTTAGCATTAGGAGAACAAGAACAGTTAGATGCATTCCTAAAAAAGAACTTAGACTCAGGATGCATCAGACCCAGTAAATCTCCAATTGCTTCTCCTTTCTTCTTTATCAAAAAAAAAGACGGTAAACTCCGACCCGTACAAGATTATTGAAAGTTAAACGAAATCACCATCAAAAACAGATATCCACTACCTCTGATTAATGAACTTGTAGACAAACTCAGAGGCGCCAAATACTTCATAAAACTGGATATCAGATGGGGATACAATAACATTCGAATCAAGGAAGGAGACGAACACAAAGCTGCTTTCAAAACCAATCGCGGCTTGTTCAAACCGTTAGTTATGTTCTTTGGATTGACAAATTCTCCAGCAACGTTCCAAACCATGGTGAATTCAATATTCAAAGACCTAATTGATGAAGGAAAGGTAGTGATCTATCTAGACAATATCATGATCTTCACAAAAACAATCGAAGAACACCGAGCAATGACGCAACGTGTACTTCAAATTCTTAGAGAACATCACCTATATCTAAAACCGGAAAAATGTGATTTTGAAGAAACAGAAACAGAATATCTGGGACTAATTATCTCGGAAAACAAAATCCGCATGGACCCGGTGAAAGTGAAAGGAATTCTAGATTGGCCGGAATGTACAACAAAGAAACAAGTACAAGCCTTTTTAGGATTTGTAAACTTCTATAGGAGATTTATCGAAGGATTTGGATCAATAGCAAAACCCTTACTAAACTAACCGGTAAAGAAGAGTTTGTATGGGGTAAAGAACAAAAAAAAGCATTTGAAGAGATTAAAAAGAGAATCAGTTCAACCCCCGTATTAGCACTCCCGACCAATGATGGTCAATACCGAGTAGAAGCGGATAGTAGCGATTATGTTCTAGGAGCTGTTACGCACGAAGTGCTTAACAAAGTCTGAGGGTTTGTCGAGGTTTTATAAAGAGACTTATCTGAAGACAAGTTCGAGAGTGTAGTTCTGAGTGGAGGTTTTCCAACGAGAGTTGGTCTTCTTCTGAGTAGAAGTCTGATCTTGGGAGTCTAGCTTTGTAAGCGTAAACTGTGTAGAATCGTATTAGAGAATACTACTACTTGTTACATGGTATTTATAATGAAAAGGAATTGGTGATAGGAGTTAGGTCCTATCTAGGGCAGGTCCGTCTGTTGAGGACTAAGTACTATAATAGGTACTGTGAATGCGAGAGGAATGGAAGTGTACGTGAAGGAAATGAGTCATTGGTCCGATGGTATAACCGATGAGTAAAAAGAAATGAGTAGTCCTTAAATGTCCAATAGAGATCGTAACATTACCCCCTTACTTGCTCTGAGTTTCACCAAAATTTGGTACCTTCGCTGTCCATATTGTAACTGTCATTGTAGCTGACATCTCCATGTAATCCTTCCATCAGGATCCTATCCTCGTCTTCCCTGCGGATGGGACACCAATTGAAACTATGTCCCGGTGCACGACGGTCACAGTCGGGACAATAGTAGGCTTCGCAATAGTATGTGCGATGATCACTCCAACTGCAGTTTTGGCAGTATGGAGTGTTGTTACGAACACCTTTGTGGTATCTTTGTTGGGTATTAGAAGAGGTGTCGGATTGGGGAGTGGTTGGATCATCATCTCCCAGGTCGTACGTTCCTGCATAGAACTGATCAATCATGGCTGCATCGTCATCTACATTGATTGGGTTAGAGGGAGAGCCAGTCTCAGGCCTGTGCATTGTGCCAGGCGGACTGTCTTTCTGTCCCTTTGACATATGAGACTGCAATTTCAATGGAGTTCTGGCGGCGGGGATCTGGAGTATCACCTCTTGCCGGCCGTGTCAGGCTCCTCGTCGGTTTGTCAGGCTCCGGGTTTGGGTGTTTGGCACTGGTCGAGGTGGAGATGATGGGGGAGATGGTGGTTTTGGGTTCGACCCAATGGAACGGGGACTGGAGTGGTTCGACCTTTGTGAGATCAGGTTGGTTGGGACGGTGGGAATATATTTTTCCTCCGACGGGATGGGTGGAGGTCGACGGGTGATGATGTGGTAAGTGCGCTCCAGGGTAACACTGGTCTGGTCTGGGTGTGACGAGGACCGGAGGGACAAACCGGGCGGAGGAGTACTCGTACAACCATCTCACTCTATCCGCGTGCGAGCTTCGTTTAGCAATGTCCTCCCGCCTGATTCCAAATATTCCTTTGCCGAGTCCATCTGCCCATTCAAGGAGCTCATCCTCAAGCGTTGTTCCAAAGACTCCAAAACTAACTTTTCCATCCAGAGTGCCCGACAGATACTCAAGTCCTAACTCTTGAGCTGCAAATGCTCACTTTCCAACGAATGTATTGAGTCTATGGCTTTTAGGAGTTTGTCAGCTATGAGGTCTATGGCAAGGAAGGTATGCATGGAAGAAAGAGCGTAATACGCATGGGGGCAGCGTTTTTCGGTCTCATAAAAGAGATAGGTATAGGTGACTTTTGCTGACATTAGCTCTATGGTATCAGCGATGTCGGCTTCGTTGTGTCGTTGCCCACAGGCAAAAGACACTCGTTCGTTGGCTAGCAGGTCGGCGTCGCCGGGTATCGAGTAGGTGGTGATAGGGAAGCCGGTGGAGTTAGAAGTAGACATGTTTTTGTGTTGAGAGACAGAGGCTTGTTGGAAGTGGGGTGATTGTCTCTTCAACGCAGCTTGTGGTCCTTTTTATAGGCTTCCAGTATCTCCACAGCATTGGTTAAGTGTTCTTCCGGTGTCAATGATGAGAACTGCTGTTAGAAAACCACACACAAAACAAACTAACACACAATCCTCCCAGATTCCACGGAACTTGTTTATGGGCTTTGCCTCCTAGAACAGTGGAGTGGTCTGGTTGTTCGTGGGGTGGTACGTATAAAAATCCTTCAAAGTAGAACCCAGAGATGTATGGGTGTGGGTTTTGAGGAGGAGGGATAGTTGGAATATAGAAAGATAGGGGGCTTTGTGGTGAGTATAGACAAGCACTACCTTGCTAATTGTAGCACAAAGTAGGTTTGAGAATGACAAGGATGACAAGGTGACAAGGTTCCCAGTGATAGCAGCTCCTGATGCACAGACTGTAGTGCTCAGAAAGACTCTAATTGAAAGGGATGGCAATGACTTCAAAAGTTGGAAGTGACGGTGACAGCAATTAACAGTGGTAGCAGTGGGAAGTGTTGTGACTACACTGGATCACAAGTAGAAGAGTAGTGAACTTGAGATTAAAGAAGAAGTCTGGATTGGAGTTCTTTGTTGTTGTTACAAGGTAAAATACAGGGGTTTATATAGTGAAAAAAAAGGTAGGCTATGCACAGTATAGCTGCGCAAAAAGAATGAGAAAGAACATGAAGGAAGGAATGTACGCTGACAAATCCTGCGTAGATAGTACAGGATAAGATTGTCAAAAAAGGAAAAGAAAGGGATAGAACAATGAATGCTATGTAAGTAATGTCACAGGTTTGTACAGCCATAAAAGAAAGTCCAAATAGCAAAAAGAGAGCAAGAAAATTGTGATGTCATGAGAAGATGCAGTAAAAAAAGGCAAAGGCAAAACACTATCAGTATCAACACAGTTCCTTTATTGTCAGTCAGGCATTCTAAAAAAATATGTGTCCATAAAAATGATTCAAAAATCAAAAATAATTGCACTGTAGCCACCGGTCCACCACCTAGTCCAAATCTGACAGTTCCATGGCCTTACCAATGGATTGGTTGTGTTGGACCACCTGATCAAATGAGGGAGGGAGAGGAGTAGTTCCAATTTGGAACAAGTGAGTCCCAGGCAGCGTATGGTAGGTGTAGCTGTAGTGAAGACAATGGACAAAAGATAAGTGTACCCAAGTGAATGGGACAGCAATGAACATGGGCGACGCAAGGGGATAAACCTTCTCCAGCTCAAAAACTACCCACCCACGCTCCAACCAGGCAAGACGAGCGACCAATGTTTTGATAGTATGTGATGGCAGATCGACATCATGAAGATGGACCTGTTGCCCTATTTGGACCAGCCACCAGGGCTTTACTGATATCAGCAGTGGCACGTGGTAGTCAACGGATTGGCAATGGAAGCGGATAGGAAGTGGTGACATCAGAAATGGTGGGGGTACAAATAATATGAGGAGGAGGAGGGTGGAGGTGATGAAAAAGTGGATTAGAATGGGGATCCAGAAATGACCATCAGGTGAGAATAAAAAGGAGAGGAAGGGGCCCATGGTGGGGCTAGGCAAAGGAAGGGGAGTAAGGGAAACAACAAAAGCGAGGGCGCAATGCAATGTGTAGCCAGTGGCGACGCAAAAATTTGCCGAAATGCCGAAACACGGAAAGTACCGGATGGAAAAGCAAAGGTGAGCATGACTGGATTGCCTGATAGAGGTGGTGCTGATCAGCCACAAGTTCGAAACAGGCAATATTAATTACTATTCCACGTGGTACTGTGCCTGTGTGGCGCAAAGGCAAGTCTTTTTGAATATTCGCTTCATTATTGACACCTGTCCATGCTACCAATCAATTTTGGTGCATGACAACGGCTGGTGGACCGATGAAGGACTCATTTACTTCAAAGGTCGTATGTATGTCCCAAAAGACCAAAAACTCAGAGAAACGATCATAAGAGACAACCACAATTCCCCAATAGCTGGTCACCCAGGCCGGTATAAAACAAAGGAATAAATTACCCGATCGTATTGGTGGCCATACATGGATAAAAACATCCAAGAATACATAACCGGTTGCGAAACGTGTCAACGCACAAAAACAGATCATCAGAAAAAAGTAGCACCGTTACATCCGAATGAGATCCCAAGCCGCCCCTGGCAAATCATATCGACGGATCTTATCGGACCGCTACCAGAATCCAAAGGGTATAATACTATTATGGTGGTCGTAGATCGATTCTCCAAAATGATTAGGATCATGCCTACTCATGCCGAGTTAAACTCAGAAGGAGTAGCAAGATTATTCAGAGACAACATTTTCAAACTCCATGGATTACCCGATAAGATCATATTGGACCGAGGAGTACAGTTCGTCTCAAACTTCATGAAGGATCTCTATACAATGCTAGGTATAAAAGGAAACCCATCCACTGTTTATCACCCACAAACCAATGGCCAAACAGAAAGAATCAATCAAGAGATAGACCAATATCTCAGAATCTTTGTTAACCATAAGCAAGATGATTGGGCAGACTGGCTACCATTAGCAGAGTTCTCCTATAATAATAAAGAACACTCAGCTAGTGGCTTTAGTCCTTTTTATTTAAACAACGGGCAACACCCAAAAATAGTAGAAAAGAGTGAAAGTGCGGAAGAATTTGTAGAGAGGATGAAAGAAACAAGAGAAGAAGCAGAGAAATCTCTGGCAAAGGCAGCCGAGATTATGAAGAAATCATACGATAAGACAAAAAAGGAAAGTCTTGAGTATGAACCAGGAGACAAGGTTTACGTAGAAGCTGAACATATCACAACTGATCAGCCATCAAAGAAATTGGATGACAAACAACACGGACCATTTGTAGTCGAAAAAAAAACCGGTCCGGCAGCCTACAAATTAAAGCTGCCCGGAAGATGGAAAAATGTATACCCGGTATTCAATGAAAAAATCCTACATCCTTATAAAGAACCAACTTTTTTGGGACAATAAAAACCCAAACCTCCACCTCCTGCAGAAGTAAACAGACAAAGAGAATACGAAGTAGAAAAAATACTTGACTCATGATTGAAACTGTAACGACCAAGAGTTAGTTACTCTGGCGCACACAGGAACACACTATATAAAAGAGGAAGTTGGGGAGTGGTTACCCCTTAGGCTGCAGTGAGTTAGTTGTGCTAGACAACAGGAGGACTCGCTGAGGAGTCTCCTGGATCTATTGGGGTATTTATACTACTACAGGTTTGTTTGTACATGTATACTATACAGTTGCAAATAAAGTTTAAAGTCCGCTTGTCTATCATGTGACCGGTCACATGGTGAGCCTAGACTTTTGGTCAGGTGATGTGTCACGTGACTTGGTCATGTGATTTATAAAAAGTCGAAAATGTAAAGTAAAGTAAATGGTCACATGACTGATCATGTGACTTGGAAAATGAAAAGTTAAAGTACAAAAAGTGAAGCGTAAGTAGGTGCTGGTTATGTCTATTGTAACAGAAACGTGACAAGTTAGAATATTTGGTACATTGGAAAGGATACGGAAAAGAAGAACGAACATGGGAGCCTGAGCAAAACGTCAAAAACTTGCCAGAATTAGTCAAAGATTTCCACGATCATTTCCCATCCGCTCCACGCCGAATAAATATCTCACTTCATTACAAAACATTCGACAACTTTACTGAACCATCTCACAATCGTAAAATATTCAATTGGGAAAATGGCAAATTGGAACCAACCTTTCAGGACGAAAGTCCTAAAGGGGGGGTAATGTCACGATCCCTCTCTCTCACACCTGACACTTCACCTTTTCTCTCAAACTCAGACGTCGAGACTCTTATCTCTCCTTATCTTATCACATAGCTTTTTCCTTTATCTATATCTTATCTCATCACGTGACTTTAAGTCATGTGATTACTTACAAATCATCTTACCAAGCTACATGCTACATCCTCCTGTCTATCAGTCAGCGCCTCATGGCTGACATGAGTTTTTACATATATAAGTAGATACTCAACGATGTACATACCTTAGCTTTTGATTTAGTCTTTATACAACCTGTTCAACTACCTGCTTGCAATTGACGTTGAGTTTGCCTGGTTTCTTCCAGTAGTGCAGCTCAGTTGTTATAAAAATATACTGGCAATGCATTCAAAAATCAACTCCGAGGAGATGGTGTCATCCAAAAAACTACAGCTGCAGATACTCCGGAACAAAATGGCATTGCAGAACACATGAATCAGACATTGGCTACATTAGCAACCACTATGCTCCATGATTCCAAGCTCCCAAAGTCATTTTGGGTAGATGTCATGCAAACAGCTGCATATATCACAGCATGCAGCCCAGCATTAGGACTCCATGGAAAGACCCCATATGAAATACTATTTAAAAGGAGAGTTGATCCAACTTTGTTTCGCCTTTTCAGATGCCAAGTATATGCCTTGATTCCGAAAGACAAAAGGCAAGGGAAGTTTTACTCCAAGGGGCACAAAGCCATAATGATTGGCTACACACATGGAAAGCAAGCCTACAAACTCCTAGACACTGAAAAACAAACTGTGTTTTCCAGTTGGCATGTTATATTCAATGAATCCGGAAAGGTATAAAAGGATGATACTGCTCCCTGGAACACAAACACTAGCACAGATCAGTGGGAGGGACTCATTCCAGAGAATGCTCACTATCCAGACCAAAAAACATTGGAAGAGGATGATCCTGACCCTCGGATCCGAGATCCAAATGAATGATCCTGACCCTCGGATCCGAGATCCAAATGAATGGCAAATGGAACCACATTTCCAAGGAGATGTTCCACAAGCAATAGAACCATATCAGCATGAAGATAATCCGAGAGCAGTGGGAGCACCTGATCAGCTAAGACACCCTCCACAACAGTCTTTACAACCAAAGTAGAGTCACAGTCAGTGGGAGGACAGCCCCTCAACATACAGCCAGCTGATGTGGAAAAAGTCCGAATACAGCCAGCTGATGTGGAAAAAGTCCGAATACAGCTAGACAGCCTGTTCATTGGATTAGCTTCTGGAAGGCATACAACACCTCTAAGGAGTTATTCAACGCCTCCGAGGAGTGATTCAACACCTTCAGGAGTGAGTGGGGCAACAAATACACAAATGCGTCTACTCCCTGGAGTACCTGCATAAGTTCCTAAAAGAGCAGTCATGCCTGCTGAAGTCCTAGGAGTACGCAGAAGCAGTTGCCAGACCCGTCCTGCAGACAAAAACCGAGATTATCAAAGGACTCTAGATGAGGAACAGTCTCGAAAAGAGCAGCATAACAACTCCATGGAGAAACCTAACAATCCTGAGGTTCATGAAGAAACATCTGATACAGAGGAGACATTCTTTGCTGGAATAGCAAGTACTGGTCCATCTAACACAGACCTTCCAAGGACACTAAAGGAAGCCTTATCACGTCTGGATGGAGAATTATGGAAGTCTGCCTTGGAGGAGGAACTCCTAAGTCTCAATACTAATGCGGTATATGACACTGTTCCACTTCCGAAGGGAGTAAAACCCATCACATCAAAACCTGTGTTCCGGATCAAGTTTGATCAAAATGGAAACATTGAGAGATACAAACTCCGGATTGTTGCACGAGGTTTTACTCAAAGGGAGGGGATTGATTACCAGGAGGTTTTTGCTCCGGTTGCAAACTTAGAGTCAATCCAAATTATTCTAGCCCTGGCAGCAAAGTACGACCTAGAACTTGATCAAATGGATATATCCACAGCTTATCTCAATGGAGAACTTGGAGAAAAACTGTACATGCTTCCTCCAGGGGGTGTTCCTATCCAACCTGGATACTGCTGGAGGTTGAAAAAATCCATCTACAGATTAAAACAAGCTGGTCATACATAGAACAAAACCTTTGACCGCAAGCTCCAGGAGCTCAGTTTCACAAGACTAAATGCAGGAACATGACCCTATGTATTTTGGGACAACAAACAAATATGCTTTGTTGTTGTCTATGTAGATGACCTCCTCCTAGGAGCTTCATCCCGAAAATTCATGGATATCACAAAAGCCAAACTCGAATCCATATTCAAAATGCGGGACCTTGGAGAAGCAAAATACATCCTCATAATAGAAATCCAACGTGATCGTTCAAACACAACAATATCCCTATTGCAACGCCAATACATTGACACAGTCCTAGAGCGTACTGGAATGAAGAACTGCAAACCAGTATGGACACCAATAGCCCATGGATCAAAACTCCTTGCAAATGCTCCAGGGGAAGATATTATGCAACACGAGATGCATATTGAAGGATGTCAAGTGTCATACCTCTCAATTGTAGGCTCCCTCATGTATGCCATGCTCGGAACCCGCCCAGACATTGCCTACATTGTTGGAATACTAAACAGGCATAGCTCAGCTCCAAGGAGCCATCACTGGAAAGCTGCAAAACGTGTCCTCCGATATCTGAAAGCAACCAGGGACATGGAACTACAATATGATGGCACAGATGTCTCCATGGACATGGATTTCTATGGATATTCAGATGCAGATTGGTCTGGAGACCCAGACACGTCTTGATCAACATCAGGGTTTGTCTTTATCACCATCCGAGGAGCAATCTCCTGGACAAGCAAAAGACAAAGCATGGTTGCTTTATCCTCCACAGAGTCAGAGTACATTGGATTGAGCAATGCTGGACAACACCTTGCATGGCTTCAGACATTTTTTGAAGAAATTGGACATGCTCAAAATAGACCTACAACATTGCACTGTGACAATCAAGCAGCTATCATTCTTATATGAGATCCACAGTTCTGTGCTCACACAAAATATATTCAACGGAAATATCATTTCATCTGAGATGACTTAGTATCAAAGGGAGAGGCAGTAATCAGATATGTTCCTACAGGAGATATGGTTACAGACATTCTCACTAAACCCCTCACTCATGAAAAACACTGGAAATTCTCTAAAGCCATGGGACTACGGTTGCACTCGAGTAGGAGTGACAAAACTGGATAAACCTGGTCTCTGCCGAAGCAGCCATTGTTCTTCTAGGAGCACAATTATACTCCTAGGAGTCATTATACTGTAGCGAGTAGCACCTCCGACTATAAGTAGTAGGGGGTTTAGTATAGGAATACCTCAGTCGTTTCTATAGCCTCTTGGGCAGCGGCTGAGGTATAGGGGGTTTAGTATAGGAATACCTCAGTCGTTTCTATAGCCTCTTGGGCAGCGGCTGAGGTATGTTACATTACATTTATTAGAGATCACCTTAAACTAACATCTATTGTAGTTTCACTTAGTGTTATTAGCACCATGGTTGGATGAAACACCTTGATCTGCGATGGCATTGGTTGAGAGATGTTGTTGACTCTGGGAAGATTGCTCCTACCTTTGTTCCCACTGCTGAAATGCCTGCAGACTTGTTGACCAAGGCTCTTGCCAAGCCTAAAGTAGAAGCGTTCAGGAAGATGATGGTAGATCAGGGGGGAGCTGATGCTTGGGAGGTGCAGCATCAGGGAGGAGTGTTACTTTGTGCTACCTATATATTTTCATTCCTTTCTCTATCTATTCTTCTATCATTCACTATTGATTGTGTTCTCTATTATTTCGTCTTTGTGGCTGCTTTGTTTACCTTTGTTTACAAAACTTCGGACAGTACTGCAGAGTCCAATGCTTCCTATTCTCTAGTTACCCACATTGGACTCTAGGTACTGTATACCTGTCATACTCTCTAATAATCCAGTTACTCACATTGGACTCTAGTTCCAGTCCCTGATTGCTCTCAGCAAGTGGCTAGACACTTCCTTCAAGCTTTGTTCTTAATAGCTGTCACACTCAGCGCACTGGCATTCCCTGATGCTAGTATCAGCCTCATATTCCTCCCGTTCTTTGCAATTCCTATCCAGTCAGGTGTGGGTGCTATTATAGCCTTGGATGCTATTGGTATATTGCGTGGTTGGAAGTAAGAGATTGTATTGCTACTGCTTTGATTTTGTTTTGCTGATCTCTGGCTCTGGTACAGGATGTTTGATCATTGTGCGCATTTGAGCGGCGCGACTTTTGGAGTGTTGTACTATTTGTATGGACCACAATGGTGGGATTTTATGAGGATTATCCACGATCCTACGGAGGAAGAAAAAGAAAAGTCGGAAGCATAGATGGCCATTTTTCATTGTCAGTATCCTCTCTACTCAATACTATTAATTATTGTTAGGTACTACTACACGTGCACCACAAGAATATAAAGATGATTCAATGCATCACTATACTCTTGGATTATCTGCAAGTAACTACGTCAGATTAAAATGAGAAGTCTTACAGCTCGTTCAAGCTTTTAGCAGCCTATTCCATTGCACTTGTAATATCAAACCTGTGCGAGAACTAGAAGTCATGTTATCCCTCCCAACTGCATATTCTGTGAAAGTCCGGTGAAAATGAGTGGGTGACAAATGTAATGCGATTTTGGGAGCTATGGTACAAAAGGTCTTGAAAGGATATAACAAACTACTTCAGCTGAGCCTCCAACTGCTCGAACTGATAATCATCATGCGCCTTGCTCATAACGGCGTGCGCACGAACCTCGGCATGCCACTTATTATTTTCATTGAGCGCGGCTGGGTATCTGTCCTCTCCTTCCTTCCCAGCCCAATCGAAATCAACGAGAAACCCTTGCTCCTTGGAAGAAACAACATTCGTGTCACGCAGGTCTCCGAACACAAACCTATTCTCGTGCAAGAGCTTTAGTGCCCTTTTAACATCCCTCAAGACAGCTTCGGGAACAGGTTTGGGCCTTGAACTGTTTCGCAGTCGCCAGATTGATGCACCGTCTTCGAGATGGTCCATGACGACCATAAAAAGGCCCCCGATGATTGGCTCGCACCAGTGGAGCTTTGGGGCCAGTTTGGCATCGGATAAGAGGCGGTGGGCTGCTTTACCGTATCGACTCGCAAACTTGACGACAACCTCGGTAGCACCATCAGGGGTAGCAGCGTCACCAAGGGTAGCCCGGTACAGCGCGGTGGTCCCAACTTCCAGGTCTGCCAAGCTGGTCGAAACGTGCTCGCCGGTTCGCAAGAGGACACCGTGGTAGGTCAGGCACGGCAATGCATTTCCAGAGACTGAGGTTGGGTCAGGGTAGATTGCCGCAATAGTTACGTGGTTGCCCTGAACTGCGCGGTAGTGCGCTGCCAGTGCCGCTCGACACGATGAAAGGCACCTGAAGATTCGAGCCGCATGGATGATGTTCTCGGACAAGTGAAATCCGGGGGTGATATTGAAGGCGACTAGCCTGGATGCGTAGATAGAGCCAACACAGACAGCCACACCAATCTCGATCCGATTTCCCGAGAGACCGAGAAGCAAGACAGGGAAATTGCAGGATCCTTGAAAGTGCGCAAGCTAGAAAGAACACTTCAACGGAGATACGAACGTGGATGCGTGCTGCCGCACCTGGGGGTCCGACACAATCTTGCTGTAGTCGGCAAGACTTTGAACAAAAGGATCTCCGCCAATACCAGGGGCATTTTTCAGCTTCAGGATTGTGACAGGGAACTCACCTTGCCACCAACTCGCATCAGGCTGGATGTTCCCCACCCGGTCAAGCCTTTCCTCCCACTGACCAGGCTCCCCCATTAAGTGGTCGACGTGCTGCCGAATGGCGTTCCGGCGACTGTCCTCATTGTGATAAGACATGATTGTACTGCTGAGGAAGCTAGACGCGTGGCTGACATCATGTTCGGTCACCTCGAGGTCGCCAAGCTCGGCGAGGGCCCGTTGTAGGTGCGCAAGTGGCGGGCTGAACATGGCGGCTGGGACTTGATCGAGGCACACAGGATGGCCATCGGCATTGAGGAACTTTGCCAATGCATCAGCGCTCCTTACAACTGCAGATGGGGAGGGGCTGGATGATAGTTTGGCGAACTGCTTGCCGAGCTCTGCAAAATTCATGAGGATTGAACAAGTGACAAGTGGGTGGACTCGTACTTTTCTTAATCTGTATCCGAGACCGTGCTTGAGGATCGTCAACAAAGTCAAGTAGCTCCTTGGCTGAAACGGGGTGAGGGGGCTAGGGAGGGGTATGGAAACACATGAAAAAACGCACTCTCAGCATTGGCAACAATGATATGAAGAGTATCATTTGGCAGGGCTTCGGTGAACACGTCTTTAATGTTACGTAGAACACTGAGCTTGGCTGCCTCTGGCTGGATGCGAAGCCACTGAATGACACGGTCTGTCAGATCCACCTCGGGCTCTATCTTGACATCCGCCTATCCAGGGTCAGTCATTTGGCATCGTAGACTAGGTGGCAGACGCACCTTGTACAACACAAGGTCCCTCAGTGGGACATCATAGTCAACCTCCTCCTTGAGCCGCTTGTGGAACTCCCGCAACAGCAAATCGACTTTGAGATTGCCCTCAAAAATGATTTGCGTGAAAAACGGTGGCTCCACCGGAAAGTAGCAGCTGAGGTTGAGCTTCATGGTTCACCTGTTTGGTTACAGCTGAAGTCAGATCGATAGGCTAGTCTAGTCCGAAATAACGGTGGCGTGCGGGAGGTGCCCCTTCGGTACCAATAGAACATTAATTTCTTCTCGCCTCCTGCACGCCAAATGAAACTCAGACAGCTTAGCAATTCAACCAACCGAGAGCTTATCACTGTGGTCAGCATCATGTCAAGACAGTTGAATGTACAATACATAGTAGATCAATAATACATACAGTCTAGTTCCTCTACATGAGTGAGAATCAAACCCCCTCTCAAACACCTCGCAAGTCACCCCAAACAGCTCCATCCTTGATGCCATTCAAGATTCTAAGTGGACCTTGGCTCAGTTTTTAGATTGGTTGTTACGTATGAAAGAGATGCGGGGTATAACCTGTATGGACAGCGAATCACCCAGGTTGTACAAGCTTTTCTCGATGGGACGTCTTCCCCAACCCTTGGTTACATCGTTGGCCAGATGTACAAGCGAGCCCAAGAGGCTCCATACAAGCCGAACAATCCATCTTGTGATGTGTTCATTTGATCCTTACATCAGTTATACTGAGATCAGAAATGGAGAGCAAGGACTTACCGCCTGGGCTGTCAATCACGTAGCCCACATCATGCATGACAGATTCACCCATATGATATTGCATGATGCTGGGCTCCATCTACGTGCATGTCCTCAGCAAGAGAACACCCAACAATGCCATGGCCCTCATATCACAACACAAGCTATCAAGAACTTTAGCTATCAAAACCTACAAAACATTGCTGAAGAACATGCACCTGTTACATGTTGAGTGAGTATTCACGAGAATCATCTTGATGCAAGGCCAGTGAAGGACAAGTGGGGGTAGTAAGGACTTACTGTCTTTTGCAGCTTGTAAGACAAAGCAGCAGAATATATGGCTTTTACTGACATATTAGCTCTAGGGTACAGTGGATGTACTTCTGACACTCACCTTTATCCTGTTAAACCAAGCCAACTTCCCAGCTCTGTGTTGAGCCCTCTATTTTTTTGCCACCAAGGCCCACTGTTTGATATTTCCGGTTGATTCACTGGGGCAATCCGTAGCATATGACACAGTGTACAAAGCACCCACTGGCCTATGAAATGCAGGCCAACTTGAAGGCTGCAATGCAACATGGTTTCGGGCACTTTTTTTCTGTTGTTGGAGGCAACGTCCAGGCCTTTGCCAGGCAGCGCAACTCCAGGATTGGGGGAGAAAGCCACTTGATCAAGGGCTTTGCGGGCACAGCAGTGGAGATGGAAGGCTGTGATCCAGCTGTGTTTTAATATAGAGGAATCAGTGAGACATCACAAACTTCAAGAGAGGAAAACACTTACCACAGATGTTATCCTCGAAGACTTGGACTTCCAGGGTCTTGCAGCTGCCTCAGCATTTCACTTCCTTGATGTCTTGATACAGTTTGTACATGGGCTGTAAGTCAATCAATCCAACCTGCGTGAAATATCAGCTGCTGTTGCAAAAAAACCCATTCCTCCAACATGGAAAACTAATGTCATCCCGCTGGCCACTAATAGCGCAGACGAGATGCAGGTTAGTGGGATAAAAGACACCATCCAGGATTTCTTGAAGACACAAATGAACCTTCATGACAAAACATTAGCAGACTGATTTGTTATATTTAGTTGCAATAGGAAAACTTTTGATCAAATATTAAGACTCAAAAAAGACCTATCAATCCATAATGGATACTTTGAGTCCATGCAGTCTGTTGTGCCCATGCTTGAACTATGGCACACAAAATGGACGGACCTCAGCTGGTGTCAATGATGAGAACTGTAGTTAGAAAACCACACACAAAACAAACTAATACACAATTCTCCCAGATTCCATGGAACTTGTGTATGGGCTTTGCCTCGTAGAACAGTGGAGTGGTCTGGTTGTTCCTGGGGTGGTACATATGACAATCCTTCAAAGTAAAACCCAGAGATGTATGGGTGTGGGTTTTGAGGAGGGGGGATAGTTGAATTATAGAGGATAGGGGCTTAGTTGATGAGTATGGACAAGCACTATCTTGCTAATCGTAGCACAAGGTAGGGTTGAGAACAACAAGATGACAGAGTGACAAGGTTCCCAGTGATAGCAGGCTCCTGATGCACAAACTGTAGTGCTCAGAAGGACTCTAATTGAAAGGGATGATAATCATTCTCAAAAGTGATGAGTGACGATGACAGCAGTTAACAGTGGTAACAATGGGAAGTGTTGTGACCACACTGGATCACAAGTAACAGAGTAGTGAACTTGAGATTAGAGAAGAAGTCTGGATTGGAGTTCTTGTTCTTTACAAGGTAAAATACAGGGGTTTATATAGTAAAAGAAAAGTAGGCTATGCACAGTATAGCTGTGCAAAAAGAATGAGAAAGAATATGAAGGAAAACATGTACACTGACAAATCCTGCGTAGGTAGTACAGGATAAGATTGTCAAAAAAAGGAAAAGAAAGGGATAGAACAATGAATGCTATGTAAGTAATGTCACAGGTTTGTACAGCCATAAAAGAAAGTCCAAATAGCAAAAAGAGAGCAAGAAAATTGTGATGTCATGAGAAGATGCAGTAAAAAAAGGCAAAGGCAAAAAAATATCAGTATTAACACAGTTCCTTTATTGTCAGTCAGGCATTCTAAAAAAATATGTGTTCATAAAAATGATTCAAAAATCAAAAATAATTGCACCGTAAATGAATGTTTTGCTGAAAAAAAAGAAACTGGAGCCACGCGAAACAATACCATTTGCCTTGGAATTGTAGGGAGAAATGCGAATATAAGGGATTTGGTAATGTTCCACAAGCTCTTTAAATGCTCCTTTGACTTCGCTTCCATTGTCTGTGACAACTTCTCCTATAGATCCATAGCAACAGATGATTTCTTCCCAGAAAAAGCAAGCAAGATTATGTGCAGATGCTTTCTTTAATGCTCTTCCTTCCGCAGCAAGTGACAGATCATCTCTTGCAGCAACAAGATATTGATATCCTCTAGCCTTTGGCATAAGCATAATGTTGACATAGACTTTGGTGAAGATTGTAGGAGGCAATGAGATGGTAAGTGGGACTTCACTTTTGCGTACACTTCAACTCTGGCATTCATGGCAGGTGCACACATGATGCTTGACATCCTGTAATATATGGGGCCAGTAAAAGTGCTCTCTGACTGTAGAGAATACACCATTGACTCCTCTGTGACCAAGCCTTTTGTGTGCTTCAGTAAGGATGTGAAGTCGAAGGTCAGGCTTAAAGATGACTTTGAGAGGAGGAGCAGAGTGACAACACTTGAACATGCTGTCTCCTTTCAAGAAGAATTGAAGTGATCGCTTGACAAAGTGCTTTTGGGCTTGAAGGGAGAAAAATATAGGCAGGTCCATAGTCTGAAGAAAGTGGAAGATTCAATGAAGGGCATCATACTGAGATGAATCACTGGTAAGGAATGAAGGGAGCGACATAGAGTGATATGGGAGAGGTCTGGCAAGATCAACTAGAAGGGCAATATCATCAAACCAATCTTCTGATTCTTGAGCATCTTCAAAGTCTTTCTCTGTTGGTTGACAGCGAGATAATGCATCAGGACCACAATGACGATCAGCAGGTATGTGAATGAGCTTGAAATCAAAGAGAAGAATGCCCTGAATCCAACAATTGATAGTGGCATTAGGCTGTGACTCACAGCCTTCCTTGCTTATCAATATCCCTCCGATGTATTCCCAGACATAGCATTGGATCATAACAATGGTCAGACCAAGAAAGGGAAGAGTTAAGAAAGTGGCCTGACCAATTAACTAACCAATAAGAAAAGAAAGAGAAAGTGGTCCGATCTATTGTATTTACTAATTACATGAGAGAAAGTATTGGTAAGAGGTGTACAATTGGCTGTATCAGTAAGCCCATGAGAAGGCGCTGACTCACAGCCTTCCTTGCTTATCAATATCCCTCCAATGTATTCCCAGACATAGCATTGGATTATTGCTATGTCATCTGGATATCTTCTCGAGGGTCTACAATGGTTCTCCTTCATTGTAAGTACAATAAAATGTGAGTATGAATGGAGAATAAGAAGAAAAAGGATAAAAGTAATAAAATTCCAGCTGTAATCTCTAGTCCAAGAGCAAGAGGAGTGACAGGGAATGAATTGGATAACCACGACATGATGGGAATGCAATAAGAAAAATTGATTCCTTACATTAGCTCCCCTTCTATAAGACTCGTGTCCTTATGAGTCCAGAAGTGGAACTCTGAAACTTGTTGGTAATCCAATCAAAAAGCATCGGAGATTTAGAAGTTGCGGTGTAATTTCTGTAAGGGCGGAAGTGAAGGGAAGCGGTGATAATATGAGGGGCGGCAGGGTTTTGTGGAATGTGGCGAGCAAGTCAGAGACGTGTGTAAGATTGGTGTCGGGTTCCCAAGTACGTTCTGAGACCGGATAACCATGCCAGTGGACCAAGTAGTCGAGTTTAGTTTCAGTTTGGTCGGTCTAGATGCAATTATACTTTCTACTTCATATTTGTCCACTCCTTCAACAATTTTGGGCAGTGGTTGTGAAAAAATTGGTTGGTTAGGGAATTCGGGAGTGTGATATGGCAATGGAATGGCTTCATTGAATACTGGATGAATGGACTTCCAGCTTTTCGGGATGTCAAGTTGGTAGGCGGAAGGTCCAACTTTTTGGGTGATTTTAAAAGGTGCAAAGTGTTTGTCGTCCAATTTCTTCATTGGTCTATCTGTCGTGATGTTGTGTCCTTCTAACCAGACCTTATTGCCAGTTTGATATTCTCAGGGTGGGGATCTCTTACGGTCGTAGTATCGTCTAAGATTGTTGTTTGCTAAAAAAAGGGAAGATTTCATGAGTTCATGGAGCTGTTTCGTCTGTTCACCAAACTCGGCCACCGATGCGGATCAAGGGGACAATATAATGGTGGTATTTGTTTGTGGGTGTAGTCCATAGTTTAAAAAAAAAGGTGTCTGATTTGTTGCAGTGTGGAGATGATTGTTGTATGTGCATTCGGCGATAGAAAGCCAATCTGCCCAATTGTTTTGTCTATGATTTACAAAAACATGGAGGTAGTGCTCAAGATCCTGGTTGATCCGTTCAGACTGTTCATCTGTTTGAGGGTGATAACCTGTGGAAAGGCCCGATATTATCCCCATCAAATCATAAAAGTCTTTTGTAAACTGTGACATAAATTGAGGACCTCGATCAGAGATGATCTTTTCAGGAATTCCATGGAGTCTTATTATGTTGTCTCCGAGCTGACGTGTGTAACTAGTAGAGTCAAGGGTGACAAAAGTGGGAACAAAATGGGCCATCTTGCTAAATTGGTCTACAAAAACCTGAACGGCAGTGTAGCCCTTAGACTCTGGTAGTGCGCCTATGAGGTTGGTGGTGATAACTTGCCAAGGTCAATCGGGTATCAGATTGGGATGTAGAGGGGCGTTAGGCTTTGTCCGGTGTACCTTGGTTTGTTGACAAGTCTCACATCCTCATACATATCATCTGATATCCGTGCAAAGACTCGGCCACCAGAGTTCTCGGTTCCCTCGTTCAAACATTGTTCTCTCTCCTGGATGTCCAGCAAAAGCTCCGTTGTGATAATCTTTCAATATTTGTGCACATAGTTCATGGTTTCAAGGGACATAGATGCAGTTAGTTAATGGGATTGGGTAGGAACTCATCACAGACTCTCTTTTGATCCAGATGATCCTATCCTTCATCTTCCAGGTATCCAACTTTTCTTTCAAATTCTTCCTTACTACGTTATCTTGTTCCTGGACGTTTCTGCGTATATCTGGTAGGTATCCTTTGTTGGTGTCAAGTACTTCAAAATGTACGTCCGGGAGGAGTGTCAGCTTTAGTGTTCTGATCTCCTTTGATGTGCTCCATTTTGAAGTTGTAGTCTGCAAGCTGAGAAGACCACCGTGCTGTCATGCACCAAAGTTGATTGGTGGCATGGACAGGTGTCAATAACGAAGCGGATATTCAAAAAGACTTGCCTTTGCGCCACACAGGCACAGTGCCA